CTTCTTCAAACACGTGCATCCTGTAATCGAACTTCCACTCATAAATCTGATAAATTCTTCATTGGAGCAGGGTGTTTTCCCGGATTTATTAAAGCTTTCTACAGTTGTCCCTGTAGAGAAGAAACCAAACTCAATTGAAGCACAGAATTATCGCCCAATCAATACTCTTCCGGTCCTTGAAAAAATCTTTGAGAGAGTTGTGTATAGTCAATTTGTTGAGTATCTGGAAAACTGTAATTTAATTACTGAACATCAATCGGGCTTCCGAAAAGGGCACAGTTGTGAGACGGCAATCCAGTTTGTTCTGGATGAATGGAAAAATAGTTTCCACAGCAATAAAAGTACAATCGCAGTGTTTCTAGATCTCCAACGAGCTTTTGAGACAATAGATAGAGGCAAACTACTTGAAAAACTTGAAAAGATGGGAGTATCTGGAAGAGTACTGAGGTGGTTTCGTAGTTACTTAACAGACAGAAGACAACTTGTGAAATTGAATGGAAAAATGTCTGAGCAAATTTCCAATGAGTTGGGAGTTCCGCAAGGGAGTGTGTTGGGCCCTATTTTGTTTGTGCTTTATGTGAATGATATGGTGAATGTAGTTAATGATGAGGATAATTTGGGGTTACATCTTTTCGCTGATGATACCTTGCTTTATGGATCTTCTGAAAACATTGAACATTTGGTTATTAAAATAAATACTGTTCTAGGGAAAATTGATCAGTATTGCAAGAGAAATCTTCTTAAGGTTAACAAAAGTAAAACAAACTATATTGTAATCGCAAAGGAAAACATAAAGCAGTTATTTCTGGTTAACCAACATAATATCGTAATGGGTCACGAGGCTTTAGCTAGTGTCAAAAAAATTAAATATCTAGGTGTAGTTATAGACGACAAAATGTCATTTAAGGAGCACTGCAACTTAACTATCTCAAAAATAAACTAGGGAATTAGTCACCTTAGCAGATGTTCGCATAGTTTATCAAGATGGTCAAGATTAGTAGTTTTTAATGCATTGGTGTTACCACACTTTACATACTGTGCAACAATTTTGTATTTGTTGCAGCAAAATGAAATAAACCGCTTACAAAAAATGCAAAACCGCGCTATGAGAATAATACTATATCATGTGATAAGTACACCTCCATTAAGACCATGCTTAGACAACTGCAATGGCTCCCTGTGCAGGAATTTTTTCGGTACAACGTCTTAATTTTCAAGTAGGTAATTCACCCTCCTATTTGAAAAACAAATTAACAGTTAACAACCAAGTCCACGGTCATAATACAAGGCAGCAGCAGAACTTCTATATACAAGGTAGAAATAAAAAGCTTGCTGGAAATTCTGTTTTTTTTAAAGGTCTGGATGATTTTAATAAGTTACCTAATAATATTAAATAGTACATTATATACCTAGGTAGAGAAGTTGGTCATTATATACCGAGCGCTTTTATATTATAATGCGTAAGGTATATAATGGCCTTCTCTACCGAGGAATATATAGAATTTTTTTTACTACTGCTAGTAGAAAATAAAAAATAGGTTGTAAATCTGTGCTCAAATAATTTTTTCTTGTCGGAAGTGCTGCGCTCTATCAACAGCTTATTGTAATTTTCTATAATATACATACAGGAACCTGCTTTGTTTTAAATTGACAGTGTATAAAATTGAAATTAAACCAATAGAAACCTGTTACGTTTGACAATATCCTTGCGTCATGACGTCATTTTCATTATTGACCTAGGTATTTTTTCATTATTTTCATTATTAACCTAGGGAGAGAAATTCAATTTTTGCCCAGGAAAATAGATTGAATAATGACTATTTCTCAGGTTAGTAGTAAAAAATAGTATATTATATACCTAGGTAGAGAAGTTGGTCCTTATATACCGAGCGCTTTTATAAACCGAGGCGCTCGCGCCGAGGTTTATAATGAGTGAGGTATATAATGACTTTCTCTACCGAGGAATATATAGAATTTTTTTTACTACTGCTAGTAGAAAATGAAAAATTTGTTTAAAATCTGTGCTCCAATTATTTTTTTTGAACGCCCTCTTGAAAGTGCTGCCCTCTATCAACAGCTTATGATAACTTCCTATGTACCTACAGAAACCTGTATTTTTTTTCAAATTGACGTATGGAAATGAAATTGAACCAATAGAAACATGACAATATCCTTGCGTCATGACGTCATTTTCATTATTAACGTAAGTATATTTTCATTATTCACCTAGGGAGAGAAATTCAATTTTTTCCTAGAAAAATAGATTGAATAATGACAATTTCTCAGGTTAGTAGTAAAAAAAATACTTTATCTCTGAATGGTTTTAAGAAAAATTTAAAATTGTTTTTTCTTAGGGAAAATGATCTTGTTTCCTAAGTCAACATAGTCTTTGTGCATTTAACGAGACATCTTGATCAGGTTTTTGTCCATTTTGTCCATTCTGACTCTTGTCTTTATCCATTTTAATAATTGTACAATTGTATTTTGCAAGGATGTTTTTAATTGTTTTGTTATGATTTCCGTTTATATTGATTGATTGATTGTTTCTGTTAGTAATGTGATTTGCTTTGTAAAATGCTAAAACTGTGAAATTTGATTAAAAATTTATATGCTAAGTAATTGTGACATCTTGGATGGTTGATCCTGTGATAACTTTTAAATTACTGTATTGTTTGTGATAAGTTTTGCTCTGTTGGTTTATTTATTTTATGAATTATTTTACATTTTATTTCTTAGTTACTTTTCAAGTTGTATATAGGTATATATTCTGTACTATTGTAAACTAGCAATTTTTATGCTAAATAAAGGATTTAATAATAATAATAATAATGTTGTTTAATTACGATACTAACCTGACTCACTCAAATGTGAGTTATTCTCATTAGTTTAAAAACTACTAACACGTTTCAGGTGAATGTCTCAGTAGATGGCTGCAGAACTCGTTGCGCTCGTCCCACAGAGGTCCACCGATAAGTTCCGCAACAATCCACTCGTTTGTACTTGAATAACTTGTCACATTTTGTTACTGGTTTGGTAAAGTAACATTACTAATTCCTGTTGAAAGGCAAATTGACAAAAAGTGAATAATCTTACAAATTTTCACTTTATATAATAAGTTATTATTCAAGTACAGGGTGTTTTTTTTATATGACACCCCACCTACAGCCTTTACTTTTACAAGAAGATTTGTACTTGAACAATAACTTATTATATAAAGTCAGAATTTATAAGATTATCCACTTTTTGTCAATTTGCCTTTTAACAGGAATTAGTAATGTTACTTTACCAAACGAATAATATATTTTGACAGGTTATTCAAGTACAAACGAGTGGATTTTTGCGGAACTTATGGGTGGACCTCTGTGGGACGAGCGCAACGAGTTCCGCAGTCGTCTATTTATTAATATGTTGTTCAAGTACGATACTAACCTGACTCACTCAAATGTCAGTCAAAAACTACACGTTTCAGGTTAGTGTCTTATTTGAACAGTTCAACAGTATATTGGTGAGTAGATGGCTGCTGAACTCGCTGCGCTCGTCCCGCAGAGGTCCACCCATAAGTTCCGCAATAATCCACTCATTTGTACAGGGTGTTTTTTTTATATTGACACCACACCTACAGCCTTTACCTTCACAGGCAGAAGAAAGGTGTTAATATAAAAGATGTACAGTTTTGGCTGAATTTTTAGAAACCATGGTCAGAAACAAAATTTGAATGTCAGAAATGTGAAATTTTGCATGCTTCCAGCTTTTTTTAAATGGGATGCTCTATATTTTAGCAATTTCTCATATATTTGGCTCCAAAAATTGTAAAAATACTATCCTACTACTGATTTTGTGAACCATTCTACCTGTACAGGTGAAAGCTGCAGGTGAAATTTAAGGTAATTGGTTTCTCTGATAGTATTTTTAAAACTTTTAGAACCAAATATGTTGGAAACTGCTCAACCAAATATAGACAAACTATATAGTTTTGGAATTGGGAAATTGTGCTCTTCAAGAATATAGAACCAAATATAGGGCATCCCATTTGAAAAAAACTGAAAGCATGCAACATTTCACATTTCTGACATTCAATTTTTGTTTCTGACCATGGATTCTAAAAATTTAGCCAATACTGTACATCTTTTGTATTTACACCTTTCATCTATCTACTTGCAAAGGTAAAGGCTGTAGGTGGGGTGTCAATATATAAAAAAACACCCTGTACATCACTCGTGCGTTTAAACATGACTACACAACTCGTGTGATTAGAACGACTCGGTCTACGACCTCGTTATTCTAATCTTTCACACTCGTTATTGTAATCATGTTCATAAACGCACTTATAATGTAAATCACTAATATCAAATATCACGTAATAATAATATCGATTTGATATAAAAGACGATGTATCAAACTCAATAAATCAGATTCAGTCAGTGTGCGTCTCTCAATACTTCTACAATTTACTGTACCCAAATCTTCTTGATCATAGCAGAGAGTGAGCTGCTCTTTGACAGTGAAATATCTCACAAAGTCCTGCTTAACTCAAGCCGTAGTTAAGCAAGTGTCTTCAGGCATACATACATACAGCCTGAACAAGCTGAAACTTTCTGGAACTCTTCTAGAATAAGATTCAATGAAAATTTCAGATTCCTATCTATGTTACAATTGAAAATATTATTATGCAAAGTTTTTGGAAAATTATATTCAAAGGTACCCTATAGTACAAAAATGTTGAAATTTCAAATACTAGTTTCTAATACCTACTTTTTATAGTATTTTAGATATTGAAAACTGGCACGTGGAGAGAAAATTTGACATAGTCTCTTGCCTAAACCTAATCGACCGTTGCGATCGTCCACAAGACCTTCTAGACCAAATAAGATCATCGATAAAACCAAATGGCTTAGTCTTATTGGCTGTAGTTTTACCATTTACAGCCTACGTGGAAACAGGTTGAAACATTTTTATTTAAAAAAAAAAACAAATTACTAATTTATTAATATCCTATAAAGGTTCTCAAGATAACAAACCTCAACAGTTGCTGCCAATTCAAGGCGACTCCTTCGAAGAACAAGTCCAGAGTATTGTAGATGACATACTGAAGCCGGCCAAATTTGAATTGGTATCTTGGAGCAGGGTGCCATATCTATGCGAGGGCGATCTTCGGCAATCTTATTATTGGCTAGACGATGCTATTTTCATTATTCGACCAATTTAATTATTGAACTGTGCCAAAATCATCAAACTTTCAAACACGACTTTATTGGAATGCAGCAATTTATATCTACATATTTACATGGATATTTTTTTTGAGGATAAATATAATATGTTTTAAAATAAAACCACTTTTTTTAAAATCAAATTCATCCATATCAACTTTGCCATTCATTGGTTGCTGTAAATGAACAGATACAGAGACAAGCAAGCAGTATCGAAATTCCTTTTGCCTTCCAAACATTTAGGTACACCAAATAATAGATTAGTTGATAATAGATTGGAATGATTATTCAATAAAGTAAATATAAAACTTCATTAGCGATAACATTACAAGAGAAACGAATTTAGTAATGATAAAATAGTGTCAGACCTAACATGTTAGGGTTCTATTACTATTTTCGTCCTCTAGCCATTATAGGCAAAGTTTTATGTAGTTTCCCAATTCAAAATGTTCTAAGCCCAGATCCCTTCGATTTGAAATACAAATGTTTCAGTTTTACATTTGCTTATTCGTTTGTCATCCAATATGGTTTGATGTGCGTAATGATTTATTCTTTAAGATACCCCTTGGATCAATTGACATCTTTTTCTTTAGTTCAGTTATATCTAATGTATTTGGTTATTTATATATCCATGGTACGTACTACTATTTCATTTAGTTGCTGCTTGTTTACGCACGCAAAAAGAATGCCCCGCCTGATTCAACTTTTGCTTACGTTCGACAAAGAAAAAAGTAAAATCTTGCTCGAAAAAGATCGAAATCATTGGCATAACATTTGCTTAAGGATTGTAGCTCCTATAAGTACTGATTTTCCTGATTATGATGGTTATCTACGGTCTTGGAATGTCGTTTGCCTTAAACGAAATTTTCCCTGATTTTCATTTAAAAAGAATGTCACTATTTATTTTAGCCAGCTGGCACGTGATTTCTGCCTTTTACTTCATCTATTTTTCTGTATACATAATGCATGGATTCAAAGCAATTAATAAAACTCTAGTCTTAAAAAAATATTGCGGCAACTACACGGCATTGTACGAGAGATCCAGAATCGATGGTTCTGAAGATATTCCAGAACTGAGACGCTTACATGCGATGCTACAAGAAGCCACAGTGGAACTTGGAAAATGTTTTGGAACCTTCCTGGCTGTGGAAAAGCTGTTTGTGCTTCTAGCTATTGTAGGAAACTGGAGCTGTTACCTTTATGATTCTGCTGATAGTTACTATTTTATTTTTTTAACTATCATCAATCTTCTGCAAGGTCTTATCGTTCTGGATTTATGTCAGAAGATAAAAAGAAGGGTAAGAATTTATTTATTATTGACTCAGTTTGGCTTTTTGCAAAATGAATGTGTTGGCACGAGTGGCTTAATAGTGGTTATTACCTGTTTAATATTTTATCTAAGTAGCTGCAAAAATTTGTAATAATCGCTGAGGTCTAAAAAATATATATTTTAGTACTTTATCACACTTCTATCCAGCTGCCATGAATTTTTCATAAAAATTAAAAAAAAAATTGAAAAAAATCCTTTTCCATTTCCACGTAACAACTTTCCACTATAGTTAAATACCATTCTGTCATTATTTGCTGATCTAATAACTCAATCATGTAAATTGTACAAGAGATAGTACTTATCGAAAAACGTGAAGTGTCCCTTTTCCAAAATCCAGCTAGTTCTGTTAAAATGTTTGATAAAAACACATTCAGCTTTTATTATTATTTTCGCCCTTTGGCTCTCCTGGGCAAATTAACGTGTAGTTTTCCAATTACAAACGTCCTAAGTCTAGATCCGTTCCGGCTACAATATAAACGTCTAAGTTTCACTTTCATTTATTCGTTTTTGGTTCAATATGGCCTCATTGCATGGGTATCGTATGCGTTTCTTCCTTACCTAAAGTTTGACACGTTGGTGCAAATATTTCTTACTTTATCAGTTATTTGTATGTCAATTATTCGCACAACAATTTCATTTACTTTCTGTCTATTTTCTTATGCCAAAAGAATGCCCCTTTTAATTCAACTTTTGCATACATTCGATCAGAAAAGTGATCAAATATTGGTGAGAAAAAACCATAAATATCCTCATTTTATAATGATTGTAGCTCCTTATTTGATATATTTTTTTTTGGTTGTGCTTTATACTTACGGCACAACATTCGCTTTACAAGAAATTTTTCCCCATCACAAGTTAAAAGGTCACATGTTGGTTTCGGCATGTCTGTTAGGCATTTGTGCTAGCTGGCACGTTTCTTCAGCATTTTACTTCATTTATTTTTCTGATTACATAGCAGACGGATTTAAGGCAATCAATAAGACGTTGGTTTGCAAAAAGTACTGCACCAACTATGAAGAACTTTTCGAAAAACCCTTCACCAATTTATGCGAAGACATTTCGGAATTGAGACATCTGCATGGCCTACTAGCAGAAGCAACCGTGGAGCTTGGTAAATGTTTTGGAGATTTCCTTGCGGTTGAAAAAGTTTTGATCATAGTTGCGATTGTGGGAAATGTTAGTTGCTATTTCTATAGTGCAACCCACAGTTTCAATCTTATAGTTTTGACGTTTGTTAATCTTGTTGTGGCTCAGAGAATAATGGATTTGAGTCAGATGATACAAAAAAGGGTAAGTAGTATCTAATCCTTAAGTCTGAAACATTTTCAAAATATTTAAGCTTTGAGGTGTCACAAATATCCACCTAGACAGCACAGCACACAAATTCTTAAAGACGTCTGCATTACGTCTGAACGACTGAAGACCAAAAAAAGACGTCTATAGAAGACGTTGTTTTGAAGATGTAAATTCACATCTTAAAGGTGTGGTATAATCAAGCCTGAAAATAAATAATGATTTATGTATTGAAAAGCACTCAAAGACGTCTTTCAGACATTTCCTTGAAAATGTCTTTGCAATTGCCTAATCCTAAAGACGTCTTTGGGCAGGCGTCTGAAAGATGTTGGGATTTGTAACATACAACGTCTTCAAGATGTCTTTAAGACGCCTTATAAAGACGTAAGCAAAACGTCTTGAATGTCGTTTGTAGATATCTTTAGGGACATCTTTGAGATGTCTACAGATATTTCTCACAGAATTTAATTCTCATTCAATTTCGAATTTACTGGAAACCATTTAGAATGCTGCAGAACACTTTCGTAATTTAATAAGCTTTCTGGAAAGTTCAAAACACTCAAAATTCGATTCAGAATTTCCAAAAGCGAACACGTTCAGAACATTTTGGAAATTTCACAACCATTTTAGAATGTCCCAAAACATTCAGAAACCGATTTACAATTTCCAAAAGTATTTTAGAACAATTCAGAACTTTGAAACCCATTTTAGGACACTCCAAAACACTCAAACACTCTAGAATCTCCAGAAACATTTTGAAAAGCTTCAGAATCTTAGGATTCAGGTTAAAAGTTACAAAACGCCTTGCAGAAGGCTTTTAAGAGCTGATTTAGATTGCTGTAGAACTTTAGACCTTTAATAGGCAAATCCAAATCAGAATTTTCAGGAGTATTTTGGAACAATTGAGAAACTTCAGAGTTATTTTAGAACAATTAGAATTCAATTTATTACTAGAAACCTTTTAGAACTTTTTTGAACCAATTTAGATCACTTTAGAGCTTCAGTAGGGTTCTCAGATGCTTAAAAATCTGTCAGAACAATTTAGAGATTACTGAAAAACTTCTAGAATGCTCCAGAACTCTTTAAGCCAAGTTAGAACACTTTAGAACTTCAATGAGCCATTAAGAACGTTCCAAAACACTTTCCAGCAACATTTTGAAAAGGCTTCAGAACAATTTAAAAACCTCAGAATTATTTCAGAGAGCCTAGCGCCTGGAATAGACAAAAATTGAAAGTTAGGAGTAATATAATATTGAGATATTAATCTTGAAGACGCCTTTAGACGTTGGGTTTTGTAACATACGATGTCTTTAAGACGCCTAAAGACGTAAGCAAAACGTCTTAAATGTCGTTTGTGGATATAAGGGACGTCTTTGAGCTTCTGTGCTGTCTCGGCAGTTATCTATAGAGATAATAATAGGTATTTCATAAAAACCTACCACATAATATTCCATTTGTTGTTAGGTACGCTACCAAAATGATCAGATTTTATCATTATTTCTTTTGCATTCCTGTTTCCGTACAAATTCCAGAAATATAACTACTAGGTATACTTACTTTACGATGTACCTACCGCACACTCTTCTATTTGTTTATTTATTTATTTATTTATTGACGGGAAGCCCCATAATAGCATACAGAACATCTATATAATACAACTCTTTTGAAGTCTTCACGAGTACCTACTGAAAAAGTCCAGGGTCTGAAGATAAAAGTGTTTGAGTCATAGTTATTCCGATGGATCTTTTCTGAGAAGGTAGTGGAAGAGCGTGTGGTTCTTCCTGGGGCATGAAGTCCAATTTTGAGTAGGTATATGCAATCGTTGTGAGAGTCCAGTCATTTGAATGTTAATAAATCCCTTTGATTTCGTCTGGCGGCTAAGGGTTGCAGGTTGAAGCGTCGGTAGAGGTCATCCATAGTTGTAGATATAATTTTCGGGAGAAGGAATACCTGCCTTGAAGGCCAAGTACCGTACAAATTTACGCTGCACCTGCTCCAGGGCGATGATATGGACAGAATACATATAGGTGACCAAACCGAGGAGCAGTACTCCAGGATGGGCCTTATCATTGTGAAGTAGAGAAACCTGGGCTGGGACTCTGTAACGGATAGAGATCGTTATCCCCATCGCTATGGCACTTGCTGTCTTCTTTTCTCTTGTCGGAAGCAATAGAGAGGAGACGTCAATAGAGATAGAGTAAATATCTGTATTCGTTACAGAGTCCCAGCCCTGATGGAAGAGATGTTAGAGTGAAGTCCCTTGTACATCTTTTAACAAAGCCCAGCAGCTTCAGATACCTGGTAGCGATATCCGAAATGTGGCTGAAGAAACTTACTATTAATAAAACAAAATTTTGAATAGCAGGGGTCCCAGGTGAGATCCTTGTGGTACCCCTGAGGGGATGTCAATGGGCTGTGAGAAAAAGTTGATGATCTTGACGATTTGGGTTCTGTTCCTAAGGTAGTCGCTGATCCACGCAAGCGGTGTACCATCAGAAATTGTGACGTTGTGGTTGACACGGTCGAAAGTTTTAGCAAAATCGGTATCTATGAAGTGAACAACTCCACCGCTTTCAAGAATCCCTGAGATTTTATCCAGGTACGTCAGGAAGTTAGTTTCAGCTGAGTACTTGGGCCGGAAACCTGCTTGCTGTTCCATTAGGCAAGAGTTGATGATAGGAGTTAAGAATTTAGTTCAGAGGGGGGATGCCATCTGGGCCAGGTCCACGAAAGATCCGTAGCTTATACAGTTCCTCGTGAATAACTGGGATGGTTCAGGTCCAGTTTTCGCGAATTTACCGTCATAGAACATGTAAGAAGGGAGTCCATAAGTCTATTGTAGCATTGACAAAGTTTCAGAAATGTTTTAAATTTTTATCCCTAAGCAATGACACCTCTGAGCATACGACATAATTTGTATAGCAGTCTTTGGAAAGAGTCTTACACTGAGCCCGAAAATTCAACATAATCAGCAGGGGAACCCGTCTGCTTCCAAGCTCTGTGGGCACTTTTCTTCTTAATTATTATTAGGTCCTTAGCTCAGGGGAGAACCATCGTAGAAATGTATGGCTTGAGAGCTTCTTTTTTGGTACACAACAATCGATAGCCGTATAGAGAACGTCATAGAAAATCCTGGTCATTTCCGTCACATCGAGACCCCGGAGTAAGTCATCCCAGCGAACCATCCCAAGGTTATCGTTGAGGAGTGTGTAATTAGCAGACCCAAAATCATAATAGTACGCGTCAGGTTGGCGGATGTCAGCATTGCAGTGAGGTGAGCTGTTGTAGGTGGCAAAAAGTAAAGCAGGATGATATGCATCGATGGGGATAATAATGTCATTAGCTAAGAGGCTCTATGAAAGTTCTTTGTATCATTTCTGTACCTATTTTTTTTCAAATTTCTGCACTTCTTTCCTTTACATGTGAAATGAAATTGCCTACTTCTCATCCAGTTTCGCAAATATTCTTGATTTAGCCAAAATATCTGGACATAACTTTCTTCAAATAATAGAATTTTCATTGATAAATGGTATATAATAGAATCAAATTATCTTTGTACACCAAATAAATCTCATATAGGTACTTCACAAACACGAAAATCTAATTAAACCTAATTATATCCAAAACAAACATATTCTTTATGCAATACACACAAAATACATTTTCTGATAACAATAACGCAGGCATATAAAAGAAAATGATTCCAGAAACCACTTCAGTTCCCATAAAGTTATAATCGTGGTGTTCCAAAAATGGCCTTCTATGAAACATTTCGTTGGATGGCAATGTTCGGTAAAATATTAGGTCATCTTCCAGTGCAAAACGTTTTCGGTTCAGATTCTTCATTGTTGTATTACAAACCTCTTAGTTGGGCTACGTTGTATGCTAGTTGCTTGTATATGGGACCCTGCATTTCGCTTTTTTCCACTTTCATAAGAGCTGATTATGACATAAAAATTTCCCGTAAATTTTATAACATTGTAACAGTTCTTCTGTTAAGTATGCTTATCAGATCTCTTTTTTGTTTTGTTTATTGTCTTAAGCATCACGCCAAGCACGTTCCCAAGTTGATAAAGTTATTGGATTCTTTTGATAGGCATAGAGATCAAGCGCTTATACGAACAAAGCATTCAAAAATACTTAAAATTTTCACAGGAGTTGTTGCCCCTATGATATTTACACTTGCATGTTCATCATTTTATTTTGTAAGAAGCTTTCTATTGGTTGAAAATATTTACGTTGCTCCACGTGGTGCATTTTTGATACCACCATTTTTTGGAATAAATTGTATATGGCACTTCATACCGCCCCTCTATTACGTCTATTTTTCTGTTAAAATTGCTAGTGGGTTTCATCAAATTAACAACAATTTGCTCTACAAACGTTACGCTGTAAGTTTTTTCGTGGAAGGACAACAAAAGTTTGACAACGACATGGCTGATCACTTATCGAAAATCCGTTTGCTGCATAATCTTCTTTCTGAAGCCACAATGCGTCTGAGCAGGTGTTATGGAGGATTTTTAGCAATCAATAATTTATTTTTAATTGTTGCTGTGGTTGTGAATTTATCAGCTTATATTTGTGTTACGAATGATGTTAATCTTATTTCTTTGGTGTTAATTGATGGGATTTATTTTCTTGGCATGACTTTGCTGGCGAATATTATAAAGAAAAGGGTAGGTATATAGGTTGCACAATTTATTAATTTTTTATGTAAACTCCTGGGCAAAATGAACGCAAAGTTTTCCATCAGGAAATTTCACCATGATCGTCGTTAGCTAACCCTGTCGAAAATTAAGCCATTTTCTTCTATCCTGAATAACCAATATTCAGTTTCCAGAGATTTTTCTAAGGACGCCCATTCGGCAAATTGGGATTCTTCCTCTATTGCTGAATTCGTCTGAACTTGGACATCATTCCATGATCCCCTTCTTCCACGTTATCTCCTGCCCAAATCCACTTCAGACTTTTCAATACCCAGCATTGGATCACGTTGCATAACATGTATTTTCCGTATAATATTCATACATTGCGTTAATATTTTGCTCAGTTTAGCTGTCCCATGTTACTAATAAGTACCTACTTAATTACAGTTTAATTCAAAATAGAGAGTGTACTCAATATTCACAACATCCCGCTCCAGTTCAGTACCCACAATTTAAAAGCCTATAATCTTCTATATAAAGTAATACAATTAAATTTCAGGGTGCCAAAGTCGCTAGGCTTTTCCAAGGTATCCCAACTTCAGCCCTTTCTGATAGAAGCCGAGAAGAAGTAAGTCAATACTGGAAAAGAAGTTAGACATAATAATTCGAATTTTTTAGATACAGTTATGGTTGATGCAACTCTCAGTTCATCCTGTTCAAGTCAACGCTGCAGGCTATTTTATCTTGGACAAAAGTCAAACCTTTGAGGTAAGATTCGATAATTCAAAGACTCATACATTTATTTACAAAACGTTTTATATTAAGTTAGGAAAACATGAACAATAAAAAAAAATAACTAAAGGCGAATTGGCAGATTTGCAGCTGAAAATTTTCACTAGGTTTTAAACCTTGCTCCCACAATAGATAAGATGGTTCTACTACTGTTACACAAGAATATTCTCAACTATTGATGTCTATACTGTAACAGTTTTTCGTGATATTTTGTCATGAAAGCCATTATCATCGTGATTAGATAAAACTGAAGCATTCAAGAGATTTTTCTTAGAGAGAATACAACTATACAAACGCGCTACTCAGTATCTAGAAGTCAAAAAATTTCAATTAGAGTTTTCAAGTTGTCAGTTGAACTGCCTTAATACATACAAATTTGCTCATCTCAATTTGTTCTCAAGAACACATAATTGAAAATAATAATAAATTAAAAAATATCTTCGCTAGATCAGATCTTTAAACCGAAAGTTTTTTGCACTGTATAAGAGTCAAAAGTTTCCGACACAATTTCCGTTTTTTTGGTTTTCTCCTGTAAAATTTGATACCAAAATAGCACAGCAACAGCGCTAGTATAATAACAATGGTAAGCGAAACGTCGTAGCTGTCATGTTTAACAGGCGAATCCACAGGCTTATTTCTCCAACTCCACTCGATGAATTCTCCATTGCCGTTCTCCCCAGCTGACGCATCTGCAATAAGTTAATCTGCAATTTAGAAAATTCTTAACTTCTCTGAATAATTTTTTCTTTACACTGACCTTTTATTGTGTTTTCCTCGTTATTTCCTAAGGGCACATGTGCCTCTTCAATCACAGACAAAAGCTTCTGCGCTTGATACAAGTTACCTGGTGCCGATTGATTTAGCGGTACCGGATTGGCCCAAACCAAATGAGGACACTGCGGTAGCGCCCTTGTGTGAGTTTCACCCAAATCACTTTCCAGAACTTTGGAGAATCTATACAACCTGTTACCCTCCATTCGTTCTGGTAGGTCAGTGGGTGTTGTTGGCATATTGTCAAGTTGATTATCCTATGTATAAAAAATTGTTTGGAAATTGTATTAATTTTATAATACGCACCTTAAAAAGTGAAGGCAAATGTGATGTAGATGTATACTCTAACATGGCTTCTAAAAGCCAATAACAGCTCACTTCTAAATGACTAGTATCTATACAATTAGAATCTCCGTAAACAATCACTCTTCCCCCTCGAGCCGGCGAGGAAGTTTGTAGCAAACCGAGGACGGGGATTTTATATTTGTTTGGATCCACTTCACCTAAAACCTACAAATTGAAAAACTTAGTATTTCAGCAATTAAGTAGCAGATTAGCTCACCTCAGCACCTTCATCTTCTAATTCAGCAGCCAAAATTATTCCGTCAGTAGGAAATTTATTTATACTAGTACCAGATGCATAATACATTTCATGATCGTTCCATTTGAAGTGGCCGGAAAATGTTCTATCGCCAAACTGAATACCCCAAGAGGCCAAGAGTTCATTTAATGCTGGCAAATTTGAACCACCTAAAGAATGATTATTATTAGGAGATTATTGTTAGAATGCCAGATGTTAACGCAACATTGTTAGAATGCCAGATGTTAACACACAGGAGTGTATTTTCTAGAACCCTGCGGCGACCGAGACAGCCGTTGAAGATTTGGATTTACACACTAGATAAATGGTGGTTCATATGCACGTTGCATTTTTACCGGTTCCGTGTTTTACACGCAAAAAGTCTATGTCTTGTGCCGTTAAAAAGGGACCTTGAGCGCCTTATGTCGATGCTGATACGTTGGTGGTTGTGGAGAACCGTTTTCCAGGGGATCCCCGTATATACACACGGCTTACAAGAAAACCCAGGTGAGTGGAAATATCTTTTGTGTGTTTCGACAACCCTATGGCATCATTTTTATTTCTATTTCTATTTGTTTGCGCGATCTTCTAGTCGCAGTCCAGTTTACTAAATTTCAAATACTATTGCGTAAACACCAGATAATTTTTTCAAACTTGGTATACAGTTATCATCTAGTGAGAAAGAAAATACAGAAAAGGAGAGAATGATATGCATCTGACAATCACAGGTGTAACCTCCAAGAACTGAAATTATTCAGCTACATAGAATGATGAGAATTCTTACCAGTATCCGGCATCCACCATTGTCTAGTATTCTCATCGTAAAATTTCACCTTTTTCATAACGGTAACATTGTACCAATCAGCAAAAACAATAACAGAAAGGCCAGCTTCCACGTCACGTTTCAATTTGACAATCTCTTCTGGAAAATATTCTTCTTCTGGGTCAACGATTAACAATGTACCATACTGGGAAGCGTCAAAACAATTAAACGGCGAGCCTAATACTTCAATATAGTAGCCAGCGTTTCTCAAATTCTGATACATGTCTTTGAAATTGGTATGAATATGATCACCGTTCCAGTCCAAAGGGTCGTTTTTAACTTTTAAGTTATCCCTTGGAAAATACCCTGGCGGATATCTTAAATTGTGATACTGATCCCATAAGATTCGTTTGTGTCTTGGAGGTGTAGGAATTATTTTTGCTCTATGAAAACAATAATTATTAATACAGCAATAATTTAATTCTAGAATAAAAATTACCTTATAGGTAATTCTATCGTACTAATCCTGGGATCAATTTCTCCGTTTTCAGGAGGTGATTCTACGGTAACAGTTACATGCCCTTGTGCTAAACCTTCATATGCAGCACCCTCTAGCGATACTGATAGGCTAACAGCCAACCATCCAGACCAAGGCCACAAGATTTCGGAATAGGAAATTGATATGTCCAAAAGATGACCTAGTTGTGGTGTATAAGGATGCCAAACAGGTTTATTAGCAATTTTTCCAGTGACACCCATTCCATTTAAAATAGTTACATTGACAATGACTGGCATAGATCCGTAATACAAAGATTGAGTACAATAAGGCCACATGTAAGGACATTCGCTTAAATCTATATAGCTTGGACTTAAACTAGCCTAAAAAAAATCAGTAAAAATAAATACTATAGATTTTTAATGTTAACTCACTTGAGGTTTATAATTATTAAGTATTTGATGGGCCTTCAACAAATTCAACTTTCCATGGCCCTGTTCGAAAATATTAGCTCCTGGTAATCGTCTAGCCGAAGCCATAAGAGCTTGTTTCATGCTGGCTGGATTTATAATGTCTTCGCCTCTATGCAAAACTCCACTTGCGAGTAAAGTTATAGCACCTGAAAGTCGATTTATAAAAGCATCGGTGGCAAACAATTTTCTCTACTTTGATTTTTGGGTGGATTTTTGATGGGTATTTTCATATAAATTAACATGAAAATTCACAGAAAAATACTATCGACATATTTAAAAGAGGAGAAAAAGTATCTAATATGTTCATGGAAATTTTAAGTTAGGTAATTCCAAAATGTCATATAACAATTTTCAAGATATTCTGAAAGTTTGCAGTTTAAAATTGTTTCCAAAAGTTCAGTATGATTTGTTGTTTTAGAGCATTCCTGGAAATTTTCACTTGGATCTAAACCTAAACTTTGGAGTATCTGGAAGTGTTCTAGTCCGTTCTGGAATGTTTCTGATATTTTAATTTGCTTCTAAAGTGTTCTGTAGCGTTTTACAATGTTCTTGAAAGTTCCAATTCGTCTCAAACAAATGCAGGAGGATTGCAAATTGAACTGAAAGTCTTCTGCGTCTTATCAAAGTTCTAGTTTATTCTAAAGTGCTCTAGAGTATCTCAAAATTATTGCTCTTGAAGCGCCAGAATGTTCTAGAAGTTATCAGAAATCTCCCAAAAATTCTCAAGTGCTTTTTGGTAATTCTAATTGAAATTCTAAAGTTCAGAAGTGTTTAAGAGTGTTATAATATGTTCATGGAAGTTCTAAAGTGTCATGTGATGATTTTCAAGATATTCTGAAAGTTTCCAGTTCTAGTTTGTTTCCAAAAGTTCCATAGAACATTAAGTGTTCTGGACTGTTCCAAAAGCTTTCTAAAATGTTGCCAAAAAGTTCATAAGTGTTCTGATCTGTTCTGGAATGTCTCTCAAATTTTAAATTGGTTCTAGAGCGTTTTGCAATGTATGTAAAGATTCCAATTTGTCTGAAACAAATGCAAGAGGATTGAAAGTTCTAAATTGCTCTAGAGCCTCTCGAAATTCTTAAAAATATTCTAACTTGACGCTAGCACATTCTGAAGCTGTTCAGAATGCTTTCCAAAGTCTTTGATACCTCTGTACTTATCTCATCTGTTCAAAAATTATAGGTTTCAATACATAAAAATAGGTAGATATAATATATCAAACATCAAAAATCCGAAGCCAAAAGTACAATTTTACATCCACAATAATAATAGTATATTATTCAACGAGCGGGTAATGATGGCTATTACTCACGAAGGAGGAAGTTTGCACTACGAGCCGCAGGCGAGTAGTGTAATCATCCGAGTGAGTAATAGCCCATTACCCACGAGTAGAATACTATACTTTTTCTATGATTAATAGATGATAAGCATGAGTTATGCGGTTTTTTATTTAATTTTCGTAACAAAATTTGTTGACAATTCTGACAGCCGGAGGACAAAGTGAGGTTTGGTTAGCAGAAGTCTTGTCTAAATCAGCTGTCAAAATGACCGATTGGAAGGTTGAAGTATGTTGTCAACTTGTCGAATTTTCTGATTGGCTCTTATATAGTGGAGTAATGAATCCAGGCTATTTTCATTGGTTGAAAACAATTAAATAATGAAAAAAAACTCACTGTATGAGTAATCATTCACATTATTCCAGAGATATGGGAGAGTTTCACCCTCACATATCTCTGCATTGATCAATAGAAAATGGATGTATATTATGCATATTATTCAATACTCATAGAAAAAATTATTTTTTCTACTACCGTGCGTAATGTACTCACTTTACGCACTATTCAGAAGACGTAAAATTTCACTTCACGCACAAGTGCGTAAAGTAATTCACTTCACACACTAGTGCGTAAAGTAATGTCAATGACAGATGTCGACACTGTCAACTTAGTATTTTTCTGGTAAATTACTTCACGCACTAGTGCGTAAAGTGAAAATACTTCACGCACTAGTGCGTAAAGTATTTGTCTAAATCTATTTTTTCACACATATTTGATTAGTAGTAGAAAAAATTTTGTATGCAATTCGTGCGTAAAGCACCTTTTTTCACTCATGTGATTGTCGCACTCGCCCCGGCTCGTGCGTCAAAATTCACATTCGTGAAAAAAGGTTCACTTTACACACTTGTTGCATAAATAACTATTTTCTACAACCATGCGTAAAGTACTCACTTTACGCACTATTCAGAAGACGTAAAATTTCTCTACACGCACTAGTGTGTAAAGTGAAAATACTTCACGCACTAGTGCGTAAAGTATTTGTCTAAATCTATTTTTTCACACATATTTGATTAGTAGTAGAAAAAATTTTGTATGCAATTCGTGCGTAAAGCACCTTTTTTCACTCATGTGATTGTCGCACTCGCCCCGGCTCGTGCGTCAAAATTCACATTCGTGAAAAAAGGTTCACTTTACACACTTGTTGCATAAATAACTATTTTCTACAACCATGCGTAAAGTACTCACTTTACGCACTATTCAGAAGACGTAAAATTTCTCTACACGCACTAGTGCGTAAAGTAATTCACTTCACACTAGTGCGTAAAGTAATATCAATGACAGATGTCAACACTGTCAAATTACTATTTTTCTGGTAAGTTACTTCTCGCACTAGTACGTAAAGTGAAAATACTTCACGCACTAGTGCGTAAAGTATTTGTCTAAATCTATTTTTTCACACATATTTGATTAGTAGTAGAAAAAATGTTGTATGCAATTCGTGCGTAAAGCACCTTTTTTCACGAATGTGAATTTTTACGCATGAGCCGGGGCGAGTGCGACAATCACATGATCACTTTACACACTTGTTGCATAAATAACTATTTTCTACAACCATGCGTAAAGTACTTACTTTACGCACTATTCTGAAGACGTAAAATTTCTCTACACGCACTAGTGCGTAAAGTGAGAATACTTTACGCACTAGTTCGTAATAGTATATTGTGCAACAAGTGTTGAAAATAGTGCCTGTGGGGTTTGTGCCACTCGCCTGCGGCTCGTGCCACAAAACTTCCCCACGCGTGTGAAAAGTGCGTTTCACACGCGTTACACACTATACTTTTTCCACGACTGCGAAATAACTATAACTATATTCACATTGGAATTTATTTATTTATTTTTTTGTTGAAAAATTATTATTTGAAATTATAATCAACGAACAATTTTGGTACGTACGCTGAATGCACTCAGAGTTGCTTGTAGAACAAAAATTCAATGGAAGTGTCATTTTTATTTTAGCGTACGAAAAGTACTTTTCGCACGCTCGGGAGCGTGTGAAAAGTACTTTTCGCACGTTCGGAGCGTGTGAAAAGTACTTTTCGCTCGTTCGGAGCGTGTGAAAAGTACTTTTCGCATGGTCGGAGCGTGTGAAAAGTACTTTTCGCACGCTGTGCGAAATAATCGATTTTCTAGGTAAGTTAGTAGTGCGTTTTTAATAGCTTTCTAGGCAGTCGTAGGAAAAGAATTTATCTAAATTCATGGTAGAAAAAATTTTGTATGCAATACGTGCGTAAAGCACCTTTTTTCACTCATGTGATTGTCGCAATCGTTTTCGGCTCGAGCGTCAAAATTCACATTCGTGAAAAAAGGTTCACTTTACACACTTGTTGCATAAATAACTATTTTTTGTGGTTTTGTACCTACCAGCAACAACAGGCGATGCAACACTGGTACCGGAAAGTGTCCTACAGCCACCTTTGATGTGTGAGCCTTTAACAGCAGAGCCGTAAGTTACTATGTCAGGTTTGACTCTGCCATAACCTAAAGAAAAATGTAAGCAACCAAAAAATTTAACAATTTTTCATTACCTTGAGGTAATTCCCATGTTGTCATACCTCTGGAAGAAAACTTGGCAATTTGATCTTCGAAGTTTATACCACCTACCCCAATGACGTCCATTTGATCTGCTGGATTATTTAAGGTGCCATAAAGAGGGCCATCATTACCTATAGCGGACACCATAATAACCTTCAAACAATTAAATATGTATTAAACAAAAATACTTAAGACAAAATTTTTACCTTGTTAGCAGTCAATTCCCAAACTTTATCAACAAATGGATGATCTTTAAAGTCAGGCCCTCCTATACTAAGATTTAATACGTTTATTTTCTTTAAAATTGCATAATTGAATGCATCTAAGAACCATGAAGTGTATGAAACCTAATTGAACAACAATTATAATATACAACTTATTGAAACTATTTTCCAAATTCTCACTTGATTATTAGTGAACACTCTAAAAATATGAAGTTCTGAATCAGGAGCAAATCCCAAACATTCCTTATGTGAAGCTATGACCCCTGCAACAAAAGTGCCGTGCCCTAAACCATCATCGTATGTTTTTTCATTGGTCCAATTTGTCCTTTCTTTGATTTTTTTAAAATGAGGGTGACTCTTTGATAATCCAGTATCAAATATTGCTACTTTTATGCCTGCAAAATGGTTTTTGTGAATAAAAATAATAATATAATACGAGTCCAACCTTTGCCAGTTATTCCCATTTTCCATAAAGCATCGGCCTGTAATACTGACGTAATCTGCTTTGGTACTGCTCTAAGAAGTTTACGCGAATTGTGATGCCTTGCAGCAGCAGCTTGCCAAAACTGTCCTTTGGAGCTTAACTTTGTCCTGCCGTATCTGATACCTTTGGGACTGAGAAATTTCAAAGTACGAGATACCATTCTTTGGGCTGTGACTCTTTTGATAGCTGGATGGACATTGAGGGCATTCAAACCTGAAAATAATTTGTCAAAAAAATGGATGGCCTATAAGTAATTAAAATTCACATACCTTCTAGTGTATTGGTGTCTTCTAGGATAATAACATCGAAATCACTAGGGAAATCGCTAGCTGGATTTTCTCTGTCGACAATTGTCCACTTTTTAATAGCTGTACCGTTAAGGGCTGAACGAATGTAGCCTGCTCGGGCCTGGTTTTTGTAATACCCGTTGAACATAACAATGTATTCATTTTCAACCACTCTAGAAGTGTAGTCAACTTCTACTTGTTCCTCTGTTAAGTTGCAACATAAAGGAGACTCCAATATGCCTTCTGTGGCCTCCACCCCATCGTATAGGGTGGAAATTTGAAAAATATGTAAATATAAAACTAAAATAGTGAAAATAAGGTGGGTTTTTGGCATCTTTTTACTGTTATTATTGCTTCCACTTCTTTTTTCTTTTAGACATCGTTTAATATTTCTTGGAGACGATACATTTAATTAAATATGAATTAGGACCATTTTTTAATTATTAATTAATTATTGAATATTCAATTACTCTTGGATTTACCTCTACCCTAATCACAACAACATAACTGTCAGAATCAGGTGGACTTGGATAACACCTGTCAGTGTCATCCATCATCAATCTTTTTTAGGTAGAGGAGGGCTTATCGACAGTACAGTGAATCGACACGATATATCAACATCGATACTGGTGCATATCGATAAGACTTTGTCTATCGATATGTATCTTATCGTCGTGGGGTTGTGTTAGAGCCGTTTAACACAAAGTTTCCTACGAAATATTTCGTGAACCTTGGGCGGTGGTCTAGGACTCGAGCTCACAAAATTCAAGGAAGAAGAAGAAGAAGAAGAAATATTTCGTGAGTCAACTTTTCCTGTTTACACGACAAAACTTACGAAATATTTCACCAATGTTCTATAGTTTTTGTGGGAGCGGCCGAAAGTTTGATGGAGATTGATGCAATTTTATGAAAAAATAGCTGGGTCAATCATGAAAATGACGTCATGACGCAAGGATATTGTCATGCCGAACAGGATTGCGTTTAGAAGTAGCACTCTGGGTGTGGAAGTGAACCTAGAGTACCTCTAAACCGTTCATAAATTAACAGGTGCTTACTCGGAGCATTACGCTGGAATCGTTCAGAAAACGAGAGTTGATGTGCCCAGAGTGCGTTCAAATTACTCCACTCAAGGACTGGCCGTGCGTTCGGTATTTTGATCTGAGTTCTCTAAGCTCGAATTTACCATCCGTTTATTAAAAAAGTGTACTAGGTGCAGGCTCATTCGCCTTTGGTTTTTAAAATTTCGGGCCCTCTGATACAACGTTCAACTGCTCTGTTCGCTCGCTGATTACGTGATTATGGCTCCGATCAGCACACTCTGCTCTTTGAGCAAAATACCGAACGCAAGGTGGGTTGAAAAACGCGAAAACGCCTCACGGTTTTTACCGGGTTTGACGTTGACAATTTACCGCAACACCCAATACGTTCAGAAATAGCGCACCCAGAGTGCACTCCAAGTGATGACGTCAGAACACTTTGACAAACAACTACTCTACCGTCACACTCCATTTCTAAGTGCACTCCAGCTTGCTCCAGGTTTCTATTGGTTAAGGGAGGATTTTCATGCATCCGTTTTTCCGTCGAAATATGTCCGTTTAACATTCTATTTTGACATATTTATATAGAATTATGTCAGAATTGAATGTTAAACGGACATATTTCGACGGAAAAACGGATGCATGAAAATCCTCCCTAAGGCGGCGTTCCGTATCTTAACCAGGGTTACCGATCGGTATGAAGCGGTTCGTCTCTATGATAACAATCAGGTTCCTAAAAATGCGGTTTATGTGTGGAACGCTTCGGTTCAGCTTTGGTACCTATGTCTTGGATGCTAGATGATAGATTTGAGGTGTGGTTAGGTTACGGAACAGGAACCGGAAGAACCAAGAATCTTGGTTAACTCACGGCAAAGAGAACACATACTCTAAGGGCCAAATTATGGACTGACTGGTAAACGTATGGTTGTTACCTAGCAGGTACTTTCTATGCTCTAGATAATAGAAAGTACCTGCTAGATAACAACCAGACACTTACCAGTTGGTCCATAATTTGGCCCTAAGGAGTGCTTATCGGCCCTCGTTCTCGGGAATCGCCGCCATATTGGTTTTCAACCATTGCCGACGTCATAACTAAGTCGTCAGCTGTTTAAACAGCCTACGTCAAGGCGAGAAACGCCATGCTGCTTACGTCACAACTGGTTGTTTATCGTGGGGAGTAGGGGGGATTTGTTACACTCTGGCCCTATGAGTAGTAGTGTGTATTATCCTTAAACTTACGGAACGTTGCCAACCGAATTTTCGCGTCCAAGGACGAACTATAGTTCGTCTGTGACGTCATGAGTTTGAACGCTGGCTAGGACCTGCGTCCATGCTTCCGTCGAACTGCGTTCAAAATGACGTCATGAGTTTCCTGCCAAAGCGTTTGTGTGCATGAAATCATGGAAGTAGTTCGTCGCGAAAATTCGGTTTTCATCCCAATTTCAAACTGTCAATTTAAAAAAAAACAGGTTCCTGTATGTAAATTATAGGAAATTACCATAAGTTGTTGATAGAGGGCAGCGCTTCCGACAAGAAAAAATAATTTACACAGATTTCAAACCTATTTTTTATTTTCTACTAGCAGTAGTAAAAAAAATTCTACATATTCCTCGGTAGAGAAAGTCATTATATGCCTTACGCATTATAAACCTCGGCACTTCGCACCTCGGTTTATAAAACCGCTCGGTATATATTGAGCAACTTCTCTACCTAGGTAGGTATATATATATAATGTACTATTTTGTCTAGGGTTTCCATACGTCAGAATTTACCCGGACATGTTTGGGTTTTTAGGGTAAGTCCGGCCGAAATTCGGAACAATATCCGGTTACTCGGAGATCGTGAAAACAATCATACTCACTCAGTTTAAAAGACGTAAAATTTTGCTTCAGGCACGTAAAGTAATTCCATCGAGAGTAATTCACATTACGCACTAGTGCGTTAAGTATTTGTCTGAATTTATTTTTCTACGCATATTTTATTGGTAGTAGAACTTTTTCTGTACATGCAATATGTGTGTGAAATGAACCTTTTTCACGAATGTGATTATGTCGCACTCGCCTTTCACTTTACACACTTGTTGTAAAGTCTGTTTTTTTTTTAAAGATAATTCCCCAAGTCAAAAATTTAGTAACTATGTTGGCAACACAAGCCTTTCCTATATAAAAAATTTCAAAGCATTGACAATTTTACATTGTGTTGCCAACATAATGTCATTTTGACTTTTATCTTTAAAAAAAAAAACAGATTTTATAAATAGCTATTTCGTCGAAGTCCGGATTTTTTGACTCCCTTTGTCTTGAATTTCGAAAAACCTTTATGGAAACCCTAATTTTGTCATTAGTGTCTGTTATTAGGTTTGTTATTCGGACTTAGTTCAGAATCAGTTCTGAATTGAACTCCGCATGCGTATTTGTTTATTTATGTTCGATATGATTAAATGCGCAAGCGCAGATCAATTCAGAACTGATTCTGAACTAAGTCCGAACAATTTTTTGACAAAAAAAAGAAGAGAAAAAACAAAAATACATTATAAGCCGAGTTCGTTTTTGTCATCTTTTTGGAAGATTTGCTCCGAAATTATGACAGGCACGTGATTTGTTAATTGAAACTGTCACGTGCCTGTCATTGAATGAGTTCGACAAAACATGGCGGGTGGGCGGTTCTAACTAATAAATCTGGTGCAGTGGTGTGTACGTGATATTTTAACCCTTGTCAACCTTTTTCTCTTTAAACTGGTGGTACTGCCAGAACCTAGGGCTAAAGGAACTGCTCGAATTGTCTCATCTTGTGCTATCATTTGATTTGTGAAGTTACCAAAGCATGCTTATTATAATATTCTATTATTGATGCGTACACACTTTGTCCGCAGAATGAGGGTAAATCTTGGGAAATGGGGACAGAAGTGTGAAAACGGATATGGCATGTGCAGTGATTAGTTCAAGTGTGAAAGCGGATGTGACATGCGCAGTGATTAGTTCGCAGCTACTTCAGCGCTTGCGGCCTGAAGTAGCATTGGATATTCATGTCGATATAGTAGATCGCTGTAAATTTGTGTAGTGAATTAGGGTGGGTATTATAAAACTGCTCTGACAGTTAACTTGAAGTTAACTTTTTGAATTACATGTAATTCTAGAAGCTAACTTTAATAAGTTAACTGTCAAAGCAGTTTTATAATACCCGCCCTTAATACACCAGGATTGGAGCTGCCAGTTCGGGCGGGTATTATAGTTAACTGAAAGTTAACTTCTGGAATGACGTCACATCTCATTCTCAAGTCATTCCAGAAGTAATAAGCTTTTAGTTATTTGTCAAAATAATTTATAATTCCCGCCCCTAGTATTATTATTATCACCGAATGAGATGTTCTCGGTACCTACGAGCAGACTCGCTCATTTTTTCATTTTACTCATAGTAGTATTTTGTATATATGTTTCAATTACTTAAAGGGGGTGTGCGCCAAAAATTAAAGTTTTAGTGTACAAAAATCTAAGAATAACTGTTCAAACCTCGTTATTCTACGATAAACCATCGCTGAGATATACCGCTTTAAAGTGTGGACGACGCTCTCGTGACGTCACGAAAACTTCGTCCAGCGGCGCTCTGCATTGTTAATTTGATTGTGCCCGGCACGCGTGAGTGGTTTTTGTTTAGATTATTGCAGGTAACACAGGAAAAACATTACGTAAATTTAATTAAATCCACTTTCTCGTGCGTCGCTTGAGCTTTCGTGACGTCATAGGGTGAGATACGGTACCTTCATAGAGCCATATCTGCGGTATTATTTGTCATAGAGGGGTGCGGATTTCACTGTTATTCTTAGATTTTTTTTCTCTTTTTTTTAAGATGAAGTTGTTTTTTTGGCGCACACCCCCTTTAAAAATAAAGGAATGCTTTCGGGTTTTATTTCTTTGGAATGATTACTCAAGATTTGGGCGTGTCCTTTTATCCTCTATAACATAAGGTTTCGTCATAGACGTCAATATGCATTTTTTTTTAAAGCAAGATTTGAATATGTAATAAAGAAACAAGTTGATTAAATGTCTTTCTTGATAATGTCTTCTCAAAATAACGAATGTGATACATCCATCACTTAAAATTTTCGCTTGCGACATATTTTCCAGTCCAGCCCCCAGCGCCCCCCGAAAAAAAATTCTGGGTGCGCCACTGAAACAAACAGTGCTAATTTGCCTAAAATCTTTGATGATTGATTTATGTCGTGATGCTTAAATTTTAACCATGAATTAAGCACTTTTGTTCAGCAGAATCAAGAAAGGTTAAAACTTCCATCTTATATCTTGTACATTGATAATACAATATTATTTAAAAATCATAATAATTTAAGTAATAAAATAAATATTCAAGATGGCGTCGCGAAAACAAACTTGCTGGCCGCCACGCCATGTTGAATTTTTCGTTTTGACAAATGGATTTGATTGCCTATCTTTGAACTGGTTTTTTTTTTTTAATTCTGTGCTGTTCTTCTGTGGAACGAACTCGCTTGTACACTTTGGAATTCATATTTAATTACTCAAAATATCTAAATTTTTCAAATATCCCTTGACGAACTTCTAGTGTTTAGGTTTTGTTCACTCAAACCTGACGTCACGACGTCGCTATTGACGCCATGACAATAGCCAATTTTAAGCGAATAACCAAACGAGATTGGTTTTTACCATTTCGGATTGGTATTTACCACAACATTTTTGCGACTTTGGTTTTTCTTTTGGTTATGACTCCGTGACGTCATGGATCAGCTGTAAAATGTCATACTCATCACCGCAAAATTGCGGTTTTAACCTTTTAACCCAGCTCGGGAGTGGTTTTTATTTTGCGGTTATTATTTGAATTGTTGACATTACATTTTTGGCGGGTTTTTAGCAAGTTGTTTTTTTTTTAGCAGTTTGTTTGGTATTATGAAGTAAAAAAAGGGCCAGAAATTATGGATATTTCAGATTCTTTTTCCCTAAGCATAAATCATGAAGGTGCGGATTACCAAATACAGAGGTTGGAGACTAAAGGTCGGTATTTCAATGTCACCTTAAGGTACAAAATAACGTTAAGTCATCTTTAATACAAGTTTCACCGTATATATCAAAATTCCCCTAATTCAAGGTGGATCTTAAACCTGAATGAACTGATTTCAAGTTCACCTTAACGTTAAGGATACCTTTGGTAAATCTTGATTTTAAGGATACATTGAAAAAGCGGCCCTTAGAAACAGCTAATATACTTTTTAATGGCAAGTATTATATGTTTCAATTGATTTCGGTCTCATGTCTTTCCTTTTTTTTTTAAAAAAAAAAAATGCAACAAATTGGTAGATTTCCTAACAAATCAATTATTTCTGCACTGTCTTCCAAAAAACCACATCTCCAAATAAAAAGGCAAATTCTCTCCTCTTTTCCATTTTCCGGCCAGCATGAAATCAAAATTCAAAATATAAACAAATAGCAATAACACAACAGGGGTAACCGCGGTTAATACCAAACGCGTTTAAGCGAATACAATGAAATGACGTCATCAAGTGATTTGTCATCTTGAACCAAAGCGTAACCGCGGTTAAAACCACAAAATTGTGGTTATTCGCTTAAAATTGGCTAATGAGAAGCGTTTTGGCGCGAATTTTAAATATAAAAACTAAAATGTAATTTTTTCTACTAAAACCTTTATTATCTGCAGAAATATGTTATTCATTGTAAATGCTATACAGAAATCATAAGTCAATTCATTGGTTGAAACTAGTTTTCTGACTGTTTTCAACCAATGAAATTCGCTCGGATTGGTTTGTGATTTCTGCAGAAACAGACCTAATATAAAATAAATATCTATTAATTTTTCAGGTTTTGTCATCAATAGCTACTTATTTGATCGTAGCTGTCCAATTGCTGCAAGAAGAGGACACTAAAAAGACAAACGTGACTGTTTTTTATGACGAATTAAAATAATAAGTACATATTAGCTATTATAATAATGTATTATATATTATTTAGTTGTTCCTTTGAAATAAAATAAATAAGTATAATAATTGACACACCTAAATTAGGTAATATATTAGGTATATCTTTTACAAGGCTATAATTACAAAAAAAAAATCTATCATTGACCTGAAAAATATATTATAAAGAGACTTTGGTACAATAATTATTGAATAATAATTAATTTCAATCTCGACTATTACGCTTAAAATATAAATTATTTTTGTGGTTGTTACTCTGTTTTTTTGACCTCCTCAGATATTTCATTTTCCTCTATCTAAAACAATAATAATTATTAAAATCAAACAAATAAATAATAACATTATAGATTCGTACTTCTCTGTTTAGAAGCTGGGTGCTCAACCTTTGACCCATAACCATAATTCTATACTGTAGCTTCACTTTTTCGTGAATTTTAATTGGTATAACCATTATAGTTGTAAGAGTATTTCCCAAAAATAAAATTAAAAACATAGCACACAAAACTGGCACCTGAAATATACAAATTTTCGAAGGAAAATTTTTTTTTAAAAAAACTTACATGCCAAGTAGCACTGGGATAAAAGCTTAATTCATACAAAACATATGCATTATACAATGTGAAAATGTAACCACCAAACAAAAATGGATAAAGGAAGCTCAATCCTCGCCACATCCAAGAATGGAAGCCTTCTATTGTTATATCCATATTGTGCCTTTCTCCTAAAGCTTTTAGCCTATACAAAACACCTCTTTGATACCTAAATTGCAAATATTGAACAACACCTAAAATTTCAAGATATTTACCAAATACCTACAACTAATTGAAAAACTTACTCAAATAAACATTAAATAACATAAATTGATTCCTGAAACCAAGCCATGTATCATTATCGGGCCAAATAAGTAAAATTCCTGCAGCAGCTGTAGAGAAGAAATGATGAAATCGCCACCAACCCTTTATCCTAGACCCATTTAATTTGAGGATACTCTCTCTAATTGTTAATGTGCAATAGTACCATACTAATAGAAAAATATAGCTTAATTCTAGAGCTCTAAATCTCACAAAGTAGTTAAAAACGGCCATGGAAAAACCAATACAACTCAGAATCAGCTTGAATTTTTCATATTCATCTTTGTATTTGAATCTGAAACAATAATTATTTTGTAGGAAATAGGGACAAATTTAGCTTTACTTACTTGTCTTCTTTATTCAGAATCGAAACATTCACATTGCCTAAAATAATTTTCAAATATAAGCCATTTTCTTTTGGTAAAGTTTGCTCGACTTCATGAAGTTGAGCTTTTCTTTTCAGGATGTTACTTTGCAATTCCTTTATCTGCTCTAAGTTTTCTTTGGTTTTGGCTAATCTATAACAAATAATGTTCTTTCTTTAGGCACGAATAATTTGATTAAGATCTGATTTTTCTTACTTGTTTAGTTTTTTTGATAGAATCCCTATTCGATAACGCTGATGCTTTATGTGTTCCTGGCATTTTTTCTGATGACTCGATAGTTCTTCCAAATGTTTGAGGTAATTCCTATTAACCACCTTTAACAAGTTATTATTTTGAAATTATTTTGAAATTAATTTATTGAACAAAATAGAAAATAGTTCTTTAGAAATCACTAACCTCCAGTTCTTTGAAATCAGTGGTCAACTCTTCCCACTCATCGAAAATTTCAGACATCGGGGCTTCTCTAGATTTGTAATTTTTACTTTAGTTAACAAACAACTCTAGCAATGAAATGTTTAAGTTTAAATTATAGACAATCTAAATATTCAATAAACTAATTATTGGATTTTTGAATGACCTTTTTTTGAGTTGTTTGCGTTTTTTGAGTCAAACAAATGTCAAAACATTTGACTGACTAATGACGTCACAATGACAGTTGAGTAGTGTTCCGTTTGCAATTTGGTTAGCCATTCCGTTTCCAACCTTGGTTACGGTTACACGTTTCGTAAAAGCTGGGTTCGGCTATTTAGCACGGAGTTGGAGTGGAGTAAGAACAGATTTTTGTCACGTGATCTAGGAGTGATTAGAGTGAAAAATTAATACACGAACGACCGAAACGGTTGGAGCAAAAATGTCAAACAGCTGATTATAGCCGCTTTCCAGCTGACGCTTTTGAGCACGCAATCGAGCTTTTGCGCGCGCAAATGCTTCAAGCGCGTGCTCAAAAGCGTCAGCTGGAAAGCGGCTATTATTATACTACTGGGTTAAACCTCTCGCTAAAATACGCCTATTCTGACAGTCAACCGTGACTTTATAAACGTTTCAGGTTTCCACATTTTTCCTCACTTTTGTCTTCGCCAGTCTTTGGTCTTTCGTCTACTATAAATTAACTTCAATTCTTCGACAATAATCAAAAATATGATGCTTTTGCCTCTATTTAACTCTATCAAGGAAATTTTTCCATCATGTTTAATAAATTTTGAAATAAGATCAGATATTTTACTCCATGATTTTACCATTTCCCGCATCCACACATAAAGGATTTTTAATTTTTTCAACTACGACCACAACGTGACAACACAACAAGCTTAACAGTTTCCACATTTCACTTCTGCGCATGCTTACTCTAAAAAAATCACTTTCCGAGCTGGAACTTTTGGAGTAAACTCCATTTACTCCACTCCGTATAGTCGAACGCTAATGGAGTCACCCCTAATACGCCAAAAAGCAATACCCGAACGGCTGGAATGCGAATGGAGGCACTCGGAGTGCACGGAGTGAGCAAGCCGAACCCACCTACGAGCTGAGTTTGGAATGAGATTTTAGTGCAGTACTAGTGCGGTGTTCGTGTAGTGCAGTGTATTCACGTGATGAAGGTGTAATCGGCGGTGTAACACCGAATACTCCATCATTTTGTACCGAGTAAACGGTATACCACCATCTTCACACCATTCGGACACCAAATTATTTCCAAACGAAAATAAAGTGTACACCAAACTTACCCCTACCAATTAACGAACACCATAGTGTCAATTGTGTAAAAAGTGTCGACACTTTTTACCATTCCGAACTCACCTAGGGAACGCGGTTCCTGAAAATGGTAGTCAAAAGCCGCTTTCCAGCTGACATTGTGTTTGTGCTTCAAGCACGGTGCAGGGTGCAGCACAGTGTTCTATGTTTGAGACGCAAAAATTAGCATCTCTCCAAGCTCAGTACGGCTGCAACACGAACACGCGCTTCGGGCTTGAAACATTTGCGCGCACAAAAGCGCGATTGCGTATTCAAAATGGGCTGGAAAGCGGCTAAGGTGAAACATGTCACCGAAACAACCGGGTCTAAGACCGGGGGCGGTTCTGGAATGCGTTCGAGAACTTGGTAGTTGGAGTGTCGTAAAATGCATCCTCAAAATGTCAGCTCAAATTTCACTCTAGTCAAGACTAGACTAGAGTATTCGATGCGCGCATCAGTACGTGTCAACCAAGGAGAATACACTAAGGAGTGCTTATCAGCCTCGTTTTCGGTAATCGCTGCCATATTGATGAAGGTAGGCCATCCTGTAGTATAGTAGTAGTGTGTATCATCCTTGCGTGTCAACCACCCTTCCCCGAACGCCGGAAACCGTGTGATCTTTATCCACACTTCGCCGTAGAGAACGCGAATGAACTTGGAGTGTTTTAAATTTTGGCGGTAAATGTCAATAGTTTAAAACTGATTAAACTGAGTAGAAAGAAAGATGACTACATATGAACAATGAACAATGGATAAGTTAAAATATCTTCTAAAGCGTTCAGTGGCCCTTAGAGAATATTTTTACACAGCAGCGTCAGCTTGTCTTGAAACCACACATCAAACTTCAGTTTTGAGGTTAGAATTACAATCGAATTTTTACGCGCCAAAATTTAAAGAGATCTAAGTACAGAAGCGCCCTCTTCAACTCAACTGTCAATATTACATGCCATTGGAAAAGCGTGCCGAATAAGCCTAGTTTTCATGGAGCGGTAAATCGCGTTGGGGACGCGAAATTTTTTTAAATTTTTCTCGCAGCGGGAAAATGTCAACTGTTTGTGATATCGCAAAAAAGTTAAGAGTCGAATTTATAGTCGTTCCTGGGGCCCAATTCTTGAAAAATCTTGAGAGTTAAGCTTTTAAGCTACATCCTTAATCAATCTGATAGCGAAGTGGCACTTCGGCACGCGTGCTGGGAATTTGATACCCATCCTCAATGCTGTCAATTTTCAGTCTGCTGTGCGTGTAGTACGGTCACGAACCGTGCGTGCGGTATTTTGATCCGAGTTCTCTGAGCATAAATTTACCGTTCGTTTATTTAAAAAATGTATTCGGTGCAGGCCCGGCTCATTCACGTTCGTTTATTAAATTTTGGAGCCCTCTGATACAGCGTTTAACTGCTCTGTGCGCTCGCTGGTCACGTGATTACAGCTCCGCTCTGTTCTTCGAGCAAAATACCGAACGCAAAGATAACCTGAATTATTTTTTACCGTACTGCGCGTGACACATGTCGGCACGCATCGAAGCTTGCACTTCGGAGTCGGCGTGCATGCTAGCACGGAATTGAATTGAGGATGCCAACGTTAAAGAACATTATCCTAGCTTGCGTGCCGAAGTGCCACTTCGCTACCAAATTGCTTGAGGATGGGCCTTTAGGCTTGCTTGAGTTCTGAAGAGCGACTATAAATTCGGCCCTTAACAATTTTTAATTTTTGGGCGAGTTTTTATTCTGTCACTTTTTACTGTCACCTGAGATGTATGGTACGCAATGAATGGTACGACATTTGATAAAAATCACTAAAATATAATGTGAAATACCCTAAATATAACTAAAAATCCGCTTCCGGAATCTCGCTCCATGTGATCCGGCAAAAATTACTTCTTGAACGGTAAGTGATATTCCGCACCCGCAACTCGATTTTCCGCTCCCTGAGAACTAGGATCCGTAATTCGCAGTTATGAGTATACTAGGCTTAAAACCGAAATTTTCAGCAACCACTGTCAACCGACGTTGTACCCAAGGATGATATACACACTACTACTACACGATGGCCTATCCTCATGAGGCCTGTGTGTAACAAATCCCTCCCTACCCCCCCTCTGGCCAGCATGGCGTTTCTCGTCTTGAAGTAGGCTGCTTAAACAGTGACGACTTAGTTATGACGTCGGCAATGGTTGAAAACCAATATGACGGTGATTACCAAAAAGGAGGCCGATAAGCACTCCTTGAGTGTGTATCATCCTTGCGTTGTACCGACCGGTACATTAGAGCTGCTTTCGGGTGCCACCCTTTGAGGGCTCCCGAGTTACTCCAAAGTACTCCAGCTACAGTTTCAAGCGTTCGAATGCAAAACGCTTGGAGTATGACAGGTGTGAAGTGTTCTAGGAGCTTCGTACTCTACACCCGAACACGGCTCAGGTTTGGCAACGGAACCCACCCTCAGTCGGTTGTGTAAACTATCATCGTTCTATCCTTTTCTATTGTAGAAGTTTTCACAAATCAACAAATAACAACGTTGCCAGCATCTATAGTTTTGTCAAAAAACACCCACCCCCTGTCGACATATTATTATATTTGTTATTGCTGATTTGACAACACCGTACGTCAGTGGACGTGTCCTCTTCGTGGCAAAACTTGCGGTATTTTTAAAGAGTACCTTTCACGAAAATTGATGTGTCTCTTGTAGATATCGGCAGCGTAAGGTGCCCCAGTTTTCTACTCAATATACCGACCTCCAGGCAACAATGGTCAAGCCTCTCCGGAAGACTTCCAACAAGAACCCACCCATTTTAAGTCATGAATTTGTTATACAAAATCATGCCGATATCGTCTCCTGTGTGGCTATGGTATTTGTTATTGGATTAATGGTTCAGGTAAAAACAATATTGTATTTTGTTATTGTAACCCTTTGCCCTTTACATATCTATTTTTTTAAAAAAAGATCTAGCCGCTACCAAACCAAATGTAGGTTATAGAACCACCCTTAAAAAGGCATATGTGTAACAATTTGCCTTGAAAATTCAAACATATGCTCCAAATATACTCAAACATATGGATCAATTTCATAGTTTCATATGGTATGATGTTTAATTACAGGCTACATCACCGTTGGCCTCAATTTTCATTACCCTACACCATAATGTCACTGGAGAAGTACCAGGAGATATACCCTTATACTTGCCCGGATTTAAGGACACTGCTGCAGTATTTTTCTACAGCTTAATTTGCATCATAATACACGCAATTATACAGGAATATGTTTTAGATGTAAGTATGGTGCAACTTTATTTACTAATTTTTCAAATGTGTCTTTCTATTACTAGAAAGTCTCGAAGAAATTGCACTTATCAAAATCAAAATTAGCCATTTTTTCAACCAGCGGACAATTGTTTGCTTTCTATTTGGTTTCTACTGTCTGGGGTATTGATGTTGGTAAGTTTATTGCTTTTTAATAATAATTTTGTTTGACTAATAAATAAAAAAATTACAGCTCTAAAGGACCATTTTATACCAGACTTTGCAAGAATATGGTCCGAATACCCAGCCCCAATGTCCTTTATCTTTAAAATGTACATTCTAGTACAGCTTTCTTACAGTTTGCACGAATTGCCCGAGTTGTATTTCCAAAGAGTGAAAAAAGAAGAATGGTTCAACAAAGCTGTCCAAAGTCTTGCTAGTCTAGTTTTAGTTGCCATTCCCTATGTGCTTAAGTAAGAACTTAATAGGTATTTTAATGAACACAAAAAAAATAAAATTTTAAATTTGTAGCTTCAACAGGCTTTTGGTATTCTTATTGGTGCTTCATCATGTAGCTGAATGGGCTTTTCATTTTGCTCAATTATTACAAACAGTTGACAAAGATGAGAAATTCTCCAAAGGTAATTATTGAGTTATTTAAATCCAATTATTAAAATATTGTTTTCAGTTGCAAGACTTACATCTACAGCTTTACAAATCCTTGCCCGTTTGGGTAGTATAATTTTGGCAGTTTTAACTTGTTGGTACGGTTTGGCACTGCACGAAAACCAAGGTCTGGATATTCAGGCTGGTAATTTCAATACAGCCACCATTAGGTTCTCGGTGATGGCGGGCGTTATTCTCCTTCAAATGTACTTGATTTTCAACGTGATCAGTCAGGAGATTAGCAGGAAAAGGGAGAGTCTTGCCTCTGTACCAATGGCTAAAACTAAACCACAGAAAAAGGAGAAACCAAAGAAAAGTAAGTGATTATTGGAATTGTGGTTTGGGGTTTTTTTTTTAAATTTAATTGGAAAATCTATTAGGCAAGAAAAATGAAGAATCGGACTTGCCTGAAGTAGACCAAAACACCAACAAAACTCTAAGGAAACAGAAAGTCAAGTAGACCAAATTACTATTTTGTTTCACTAGCATCTCTGTTTTATTGATAATTTTTATTTCCGAGAAATAATTTAAAAGAAAATATATTTTGTTTGTTATATTTTCTTATCACTTTTATTTTTCTAATTTAATTTTAAATCTTCAAAAAAATATATTCATGACAAAAATTTGTTTCCATTTAATTAAATATTTGTAATAATTATTGTGGATTCTCTATAGGTATATTTTTTTCTTAATAGATATGTAATATTTACGTACAATAAATTAATACTATAATTTATTAGGTAGGTAAGCCTTTGGTTAGACTGCTTTTAAAAATACCAATAAGCAACAAAGAATTTTTTTGTTGAATGGTAAGTTTTCTAAAATATACAATATTTGTAATTTTGTTCTTTCGTGCGCTTACAAGATGTAAGATTTTTTCTTGTCCTATTTTTACATTATAGTGTAGTAATTTTTGTCTATTCCATCCAATTTTTTTTAAAAAAATATATTGTTCCAAAAATTATTATATTTGAGTTTTTATTTTTTTTTGATTTATTATAAATATGTAAATCTTCATTGTGGACTAGACCCGACTAGCAAGGAGAATACACTCTAAGGAGTGCTTATCAGCCTCGTTTTTGCATTGGTTTTTGGTAATCGCTGCCATATTGATGTGATAACAGAATGTGTGATACCATTTCCGACGTCATAAGTCGTTAGCTGATTAAAAAGCCTAGGTCAAGGCGAGAAATAACATGCTGCCTACGTCACAACTGGTATTTTGGCGTGGGAGGATTGGTTACACACAGGCCTTGTGAGGATAGGCCATCCTGTAGTAGTAGTGTGTATCATCCTCGATTGACTAGGCCTTTACGGAAACGCTAATCAGATTACCAGATGATGTAATTTTTCTTTTTTCAAACGTTTTCTCATTGAAGAAAGAAAAACAAAAACATCCGGAACTCGGATCAGCCTTTTCGTAAAGGCCTACTGTAATTTGGGCCTTATTTTAAGGTAAAAAGAAGAGATGAGATGATGTCTGTCAGCCTAACCTCACTTTTCTGCCAATTTTTTGTGTAATTTTTGTTTATTTTATTTTTATTGAATTTTTATTATTAAGTAAAAATTAGTGTGTGAAATGGACAGTATAGGAGCAGCTTGTCACGAGCTAAAGAAACAATACGATGACTGCTTCAATTTGTGGTTTTCGGAGCACTTTTTGAGAGGACGAACAAATGATTCGATGTGTGCCTCTTTATTCAAAACATATCAGGATTGTGTAAAGGTAAAAATATCTATTTAAAGTGATGTAACTTAATAATTGGTTTAAATTAGGGAGGAATTTTAATGTACAAATATTCAGAATTAGAAGAATTAGTAGGTGCTTTTGATAGGAACTCAGTGTAGTAAAAGATCTTTAGAATTAAGGCCTGTGATTAAGGCTTTAATAAGCTAAAATTCAGTACAGATTATTCTGACAACTGACAACATGACATACAACATAAAAGGTAAATGAATAGGAAACACAGTAAATAAGGTAATGAGATATACAACATTCTTCCTCGCTCAGTTTCTGACATAATCTTAAAGTTATTATGAAGGTGGCCTATGATTTCTCTTCACCATACCATGACTGGATTCATCATAATGTAGATAAAGCTGGAGGATTTTCATTGTGAGATTGTTCAGAATTTTGAGGAAGGGAAAAATAAGAATCAATCAAAAATGATAAACATTCTGAACTGACTGATATAAGGTTTTCTTTGGGAATAGTCAACTCATTAAAATCTTATTCTGGAAGGTTTACTGCATTTTGATCTTGTTCTGGTAGTGTCACATCATTTTGGTCTTGATCTGTTAGAGCTGGCAGTGGCACATCTCCCCTTGGTGGTAAATGAGGAGTTGATACAGTTATTTCTCTTCCATTTGATAGGCATACATGAGCAGAATCTGAATTTGCTTCCAGAAGATCAACTTCTACCAGTGGATCATATTTGCTATGTCTAACATGTTTCTTTTTCTTGAGAAAAACTGGTCCTGGGGTGCTCAACCATGAAGGCTTTGAGGTTCCATTAGTCGATCTTCGAGGATGGTTGAACATGCGTTCATGAGGTGTAGAATTAGTTGCAGTACACAAAAGAGATCTTATTGAATGTAGTGGATAAAGTATGAGAGGCAAAAATTTCACTTTGTGTTTTTATATATAACTTTTCAAGTAGGGTAACTGCTTCTATGTAGGAAATACATTCACTAACAGACTGATAAACTGAAGAACTCACATAGTTTACTAGAAGGTTCAATTTGTCCATGTCTTCTGAAATTTTGGTAGCTTCTGAAAAGTTTTCAAACGCTCGTTTCCAATGGATCCATAACTGGCTAGCGTTGTTTGAATGTGTGTCAATTTCTAATCGATCTTGCTTGAGTAATTTGTCCATTGATTAATTTAGCTTATTAAAGGGCCAAATTATGGACCAACTGGTAAGTGTCTGGTTGTAACCTAGCAGGTACTTTCTATGATCTAGTACATAGAAAGTACCTGCTAGGTAACAGCCAGACGTTTACCAGTCAGTCCATAATTTGGGCCTAAATTGTAATAAAAGACCTTCAGAATTAAGGCTTTAATAAGCTAAAATTCAGTACAGATTATTCTGACAATAACTGACAGCATGATATACAACATAACAGGTAAATAAATAGGAAATGAGATATAATCATTAGGTAATGTCTGCCCAGCGAGTCTGTGTCTACGGGGCAACGGTAAGGGGAAAGCAGTTGTAAAAAAAAATGGCTGATTTCATTCATAAAATACCCAGCTGCGTGCGGAACTTTTTGGAAGTGTTATCGTATTGCAACTCGTACACAAAAATCAGCAATGACCAAATCTCCGCCACTGGATATGTCAATATATATCGATATTCCAAGATGGGAGGATAAAATGACGTAAGCCCTGGCCAATAGCAAGACGTAAGGTGACGTTAGCTCATTGACAACCGTATGGTTCCCCATGACAACGGCGATCCTGCCAAAAACTCCACCAATCAGGTTCATCCAGGACAGATGCTTGCCAAATTGTCATATGGTATCTTTAGAAAATGTTTATTTTTTACAATAGACCAAACTGAAGAAATCAGAATTAAAATAAGGATAGGTTTAACAACCACATTAAAATATTTAGCGTTTTATTATTATCAATATTTTGTTTTCAAAAAATGGATTTTCAAATTAACTATACTTCATGCCTAGTATTTTCGCTTTTTTATAATTAAACGTGGCAACATGGCACATTTACGTCCGAATTCCTTTCGTAGACTCAGATCTGCTGGGCAAACAATACTCATATAAGAATTTTTGCATCAGTTCACCTTTCTCAGGAGATAAATTCAACTGTATGCACTCTAGCCTTTACTGTTTTTGTAATCTTGTTTTTTTTTTCAGAAAGCAATGAAAGAACAAAACCTTGATTTGGATGAAGTTAAAAAAGACCTCTTGGGTACATCACAAGAAAAGAAGCCCCCACAAAAATCATGACAACAGCTGGGAAATATTTAATACAGATAATAATATAATATACAGAAGATCATTGAAAGCAGAATTTGTCAGTAACTTTTTTTCACCTTCACCTTTATATTGCAAATTTTGCTTTTGATCTCCACTCACGTAAACAAGCACTCTGTGTTAATAAGTATTATAAGATATTAGGGTGAAATATTTGTATTCTCAAATGCCATTGTATGAGTCTTATACTAAGATTAATGTACCAACCAACTGTAAAACAATAATTGGACCCCAATTTGTTGTTTTTCTTAATTGGGAAAACCTATTATTCAAACAAAATCAAAAGCTTAGCTGGCCTGTACTTATTTGTAGATGATTACCCAATAATTGCATTTTCTCATTTAGGTATGCTTGATTTTAAAAAAATATATGGAAAAAATCACAATTTACATTAATATTAAGTTTTACATTTTTTTGTTTAATTATTGTTACCTAATTTTTTGCTATTTTGGTTTTTGAATGTTTGAAATACATAATATCATTTTACTGTTGTTATTATTTTAATTTATTTTCTATTGTGAAACATATTTTCTACAATATTTCCATCAGTAAAAATACAATATTAAAAGACATAAAAATTCGACAAAACAAAAGCAATAGGCAGTAAATAAATAAAAACATAGCACATAAAGTTACATAAAGCTTCTTGATTTTTAAATGACTAGAATGAATGAAATTGTTTGAACCTAAAACAATATTACACATAAAATTTATACTATAACTATATTGATTGACTTGGCGTTGGTATTGTGATGATATAATGATACAATATACCACAGCACACTACAAAGTAGGATTAAATTGGATTAAAAAAAAACTAATAATTGTTCCTTTGTATAAAATCAGTCACTAGGTCAATGATATCAGTTCGCTACTCATTTTTTTTGTCCATCTGGTATGGGTATATCAAAAACAACTGGTAAATTACTAGGTATATAATTGATATCACAAGTTGAAGCATTAATGAAGATTATTTTTCCATCGGAAGTTACACCATAGCCTAAAGCAAGTACCTATATAATCAAAATCTAGTAATATAAAACAATTATTTACCTTCGTGTATATGTCCAAATACATGATATTTAGGCTTGACCCTGTTTTGTACCGTTAATAATAATTCGACACATCCAGCTCTAACTCCAGAACAAACTAAATCTCCATGACCTAAAGGAGGACTGTGAGTGACTAGAATATCGGTGTCACTGGGAATTAAATTCCACTTGGAAAGACACTGTTGGCCTCTTGTTAAGTTAAAAGCCCAATTTCCAAATTCTGGTTGCCAAGGTGTCCCATAAATTTTAATACCGCAAATTTCTACTCCGGAATCCTCGAGGTAAGTACAATTTGTTAAATATTGTCTAATATTTTCAGTGTTAACGGCTTCGTTAATGTTATCTTTTGTTCTACCATAATGTGGCACTTCATCTTCGACGAATTTTTTAAATTTCTTTTTAAAGGCTTCAGCGAATTTTTCATCAAAACTTAATTCGTGGTTTCCAGCTATTACAATTTTGTGTTTGTGAGGCAAAGTACCTGTAATAAGTTGAGTGTGAAATATTGCAAGAGGAATAATAGCAGTAGTTTATTTGATTTTTTGAGAAGAGTTGTATATTTAAATAGCTCGAAATACCTTGGCTTACCACAAAATAGTTCAAATTAATTTGAAATACTTCGAATTATTTTACTTTGAAGTATTAGGCAATACCACAAAAAACTAGGTTCGAATCACCACCACCAAAATACTTTGAATTTCGCGAAATACCGACATTTTCGCAATACGTGTACACATTTTTACAGAGTGGTTGACCCCTCGGGTACCTGAAAAGACTTGCAAATAACTTTGAGGGTGGTTTAAGGGGGTAAAACTAAAAACTGCGATTCATCGAAAAAAGGGTTTTTGTGAAAACATGGATATTTCCACCCTAGTCTCGGGCACAACTGGTGCTGGAAGTTATAGGCAGAACCAAGATACATCGTTTAAGGTACCTAAAAAGATTTGCAAATTACTTTGAGGGAAGTTTAAGGGGGTCAAACTAATAACTGTGATTCATCGAAAAAAGTTTTTTTTTATGAAAACGCTAGTCTCGGGCACAAATGTGTACTGGAACTTGTAGGCAGTTCCAAGATACATTGTCTAGGGTACCTAAAAAGACATGCAAATAACTTTGAGGGTGGTTTGAGGGGGTAAAACTAATAATTGCTATTCATCGAAAAAAGGGTTTTTGTGAAAATATGGACATTTCCACCCTAGTCTCGGGTACAAATGGTACAGGAAGTTATAGACAGTACCAATGTGAGCTATTTAGGGAACCTCATCTGTAAGTAATCATATCTCAATCAAGTATATAAACAAAATTCAAATTTTTCTAATCAAACCAAGCACATAACACTATGGATAACCGTGAAATTTTACATAGGGTACTTGCATGAAAAATTAAATTGTTGTTATTGCAAGCTGTAGGAAATCGAAAAAAATCCATACATATTTTTTCGAGTATTTTTTTTATTTTGCCCAAATATGATTATTCCGGAAGTTATACAAATATTAAGTTTTGTATATATAGATATACTGAGCATTTGTGACGTCATAAAGTTAGATGATAACTGACGTTTAGGCCAAGGGGCAAACCACCTAGGAATTGTTTGCCAAAAATGTGGGGAATTTAGAGGAATTTGTGGGTAATTTAGAGTAATTTGAAGGATATCATCGGAATTTATGAAAATTTAGGGAACCCATAGGGAATTTGGAAGAATTTTTATGTGGAATTTGGGAGAATTTGTGAGGAATTTAAAGGAAATTGTAGGGTCATGACATCACGGTTCACATTCTTACTAGTTTTGTGTTGGACGTTGGATATTCATTTTTATTAAAGAAATCCTCCCAAAATTACACTTCAGGATTTACAGGTCCAAATTTAAAAAATTCAAAAGAATAATGAATACAGTTTTTGTAGGCTGATTCCAAAATTTTTCATGTTCTGTTTTTCACTGGAAAAATTTGAAACTTTGAGAAAATGAGCTTCTCACCTTCCTCTTTACATGCAAAAAGTTTAAAAATTTTCCCTTCATTAGTTTTCCAGGAAATCTTTGAAATATTTGAGACTGTATTTTCAACTAATTCAGTTTTTGTAGGTTGATTTCCAATATTTCTTATGTTGTTATTTTCCACTAGAATACTTTGAAATTCTAGAAATATGAGCTTCTCATCTTCCTCTCTACATGCAAAAAGTTTCAAAATGTTCCCTTCACTAGTTTTCCAGGAAAACTTTAAAATGTGTGAGACTGTATTTTCAATTAATCCAGTTATTGTATTTTGATTTCCAAGATTCCTCATGTTGCAATTTTCTGCTAGAAAAATTTGAAATTATGAGAAAATGAGCTTCTCACCTTTCTCTTTACATGCAAAAAGTTTCAAAATTTTCCCTTCAGTAGTTTTCCAGGAAAACTTTAAAATGTGTGAGACTGTATTTTCAACTAATTCAGTTTTTGTAGGTTTATTCCCAAGATTTTTTATGCTGCTGTTTTCCACTGGAAAAATCAAAAATTTTTGGAAAATGAGCTTCTCACCTTCCTTTTTACATGCAAAAAGTTTCAAAATTTTCCCTTCATTAGTTTTCCAGGAAAACTTTGAAATATTCGAGACTGTATTTTCAACTAATTCAGTTTTTGTAGGTTGATTTCCAATATTTCTTATGTTGTTATTTTCTACTAGAAAAATTTGAAATTTTAGAAATATGAGTTTTTCACCTTCCTCTTTCTTTACATGCAAAAAGTTTCAAAATTTTCCCTTCACTAGTTTTCCAGGAAAACTTTGAAATGTGTGAGACTGTATTTTCAATTAATTCAGTTATTGTAAGTTGATTTCCAAGATTCCTCATGTTGTAATTTTCTACTAGAAAAATTTGAAATTCTGGGAAAATGAGCTTCTCATTTTCTTCTTAACATGCAAAAAGTTTCAAAATTTTCCCTTCACTAGTTCTCCAGGAAAACTTTGAAATATGTGAGACTGTATTTTCAATTAATTCAGTTTTTGTAGATTCATTCCGGAGTTCATTCCCAAGATTTTTTATGTTGCTGTTTTCCACTGCAAAAATTTAAAATTTTGGGAAAATGAGCTTCTCACCTTCCTCTTTACATGCAAAAAGTTTGAAAATTTTCCCTTCACTAGTTTTCCAGGAAAACTTTGAAATATTTGAGACTGTATTTTCAACTAATTCAGTTTTTGTAGGTTGATTTCCAATATTTCTTATGTTGTTATTTTCCACTAGAAAAATTTGAAATTTTAGAAATATGAGTTTCTCACTTTCCTCTTTACATGCTAAAAGTTTCAAAATTTTCCCTTCACTAGTTTTCCAGGAAAACTGAAATGTGAGCCGGTATTTTCAATTAATCCAGTTATTGTAGGTTGATTTCCAAGATTCGTCATGTTGTAATTTCCTACTGGAAAAATTTGAAATTCTGGGAAAATGAGCTTCTCACCCTCCTCTTTACATGCAAAAAGTTTCAAAATTTTCCCTATAGTTTTCCAGGAAAACTTCAAAATGTGTGAGACTGTATTTTCAACTGTTTCAGTTTTGGTAGGTTGATTCCCAAGATTTTTTATGTTGCTGTTTTCCACTGGAAAATTTTAAAATTTTGGGAAAATAAGCCTCTCACCTTCCTCTTAACATGCAAAAAGTTTTAAAATTTTCCCTTCACTAGTTTTCCAGGAAAACTGTTAAATGTGTGAGACTGTATTTTCAACTAATTCAGTTTTTTTAGGTTGATTTCCAAGATTTTTCATGTTGCTATTTTCCACTTGTAAGAGACATTTGTAGGAAATTTGAGAGGAGTTTGGAGGAATTTGTGAGAATTTGAAGGAATTCACAGGGAATTTAGAGGAATTTGTGGGGTATTTGGAGAAGTTCGTGGTGGGGTATTTGGAGGAATTTGTGATGGGGTATCTAGAGGAATTCGGAGGAATTTGCAATTTTGGGATGGTGGTTTACCCCTTGTTATAGGTATATTTCATAGCGTTGTATCTCCATCAATTTTTCATTAAGAAGAAAAAGAAAAACTCGTGTTGACTTATTTTTTATCGACTAACGAAATCAGCGATAAAAAAATTGATGCAAGTACCCCATTTGACTGTGATAAGTCTCAATTTGAAGTTGTAAAGGTATAGATATTTTACTTTAGGTATATTTTTCTTATCGGTACTTTAGCTCTGGATATAGCATAGCTTTTTTTAACTTCTGATATAAAACCATTACCTATTACACTTTCCAAAGAACAATGGATTTCATCTGAAAAACGCAAGAGCTCATGAAAATATTATTAAGGAAGATGCTGTCTAATCATTGGTTATAACACTAAAGTGTTTCCGTGTTTATTTCCAATATTAGGTATTTAAATTGTAGTTGAAGAACTGAATTAATAGATTCTCTTTGTATCGAGGTATTTCAATTACGCATAATTTAAATGTATACATAAACCACTGGGAATTATTCTTATAAACAAAGAAAAATCTGTTACCTAGTTTTTCTAGATAATACAATGAGTTATTATTTAATGGAAGGAAATATTTATACTCACCAATCCATTTATTGAATGCAATAACTTCTTCCTTTTCTCCGCACTTTGTAAAGTCTCCTGCATGTATAAAAACATCCCCATCTGGTATATCAAAGGTAATATTTCTGACTAGAGAATGTGTGTCACTCATGCACACGATCCGAAGCTTCTTTTCTTCAACAGGTTTCTGTGGAATCTTCACATTGATTTTGATGATTTTTTGGGTTCGGCTTATTTCTTTCCAAGCCGCTGTTGGCCTGTCGGTTAGGGGATGAACCGTTATTTCGTTTTGCATGATTTGTTGCTTTAAAATTATTTGGGACAACTTTGTTGAAGTTTGAATGAATGAAAAGTTTGTTCTAAATCAGTGACAACTTTTTTTAAAGGTGTAGAGGCAACTTGTGTTAATGAATATAAAATTGCAGTTGCATCACTATAAATATTTTGTGTTTTTAAATAGATAAAAATGCAAACCACTAATTTTTACCACTCAATGTTTTGATTAGTAAAAAAGTTAGGTTAGGTAAAGGTTGTAAACTCTACACGGGTACATTACAATTCTAGTCTATATCCATCCTTTTTTGTTCCAATATCATAGAACAAAGATAAAGATAACTTGACTATACCCTGTCATGTTAACATATTATTTAAAATTTGGGCGGGAAATTAATTTAAAATTCTGCACTTTTTATAAATTAAATATATTAACAAAATTATTATACCATTTTTAGTTTAGATTTGAATTTGTTTATAATCATTGTGTATGGTTGCTTCACTTCTACTACAGTCTCAGGAATCCTGCACAATCTCCTTACTTTTGGAGATAACAAAAACAAATTCTGAGCCAAGCCACAGGCACTTGAAGTAGTCCAATATAAAACTAAACACTAAAAAAAAATTCTATTGAAACAAAATATTTAATTAACAATAATTATTTACCGAAGGTACTGATGCAGCTATAGGCACCATAACAAGACTAATAACTCTAAAAGCATTCGTAAGATATTTTTGCACTTTGCTCATTTCCATTGTAGAATTTCTTGATAAAAGTTGAATCTGGAACCCATTACAATTAAAACAAAAATGTTATAAGTAGGTACTCCATATACATACTTCAATTATGGCCAAATTTAGAAGTCCTAAGCCAACAGGAAATATCCATGAACTGTCTGGTATGGTTAAATTTGGTATAAAACTAAAACCTCCCACCATTAGTTCAGTGTAAGTCAACTGAGCATTGATATCCGTAACAGGTAACATGTAAACTAAATTTCTTAAACTAATGGATAATGATACCCACAATGGAAGTTGTATCCATAATAAAATGGTTGTTTTAAATGGATGGCAATTATCTCTCACTATCAATTTATTCCATTGTTTTCTAATCTAGAATTTTTGAATTTAGGTGATATTGAAGTTGTTACGATCAAACAGCCTTACTGATCTCTGGTATGTTATTCTAGCAGTTTTTTCATCCCAATTGAATTTTCTTACTGCAATAGCTGTTTCACGTTTTAATTCATTTGCTAATTCTGGTAGTTCTAATTTGAGGTTTTCAAGTTTGGCCACTATAGTTTGTTGATATATGGCCACAGGGAAGGTTACAGCTGATCTAAATATATTATTGTTTGAGGATAATTTGGTGTCAGTTAGTTTTGGGGACAATTCAATTTACCTTACAAGAATAGTTGAGATGATAATGGTTGCCCACCATGGTAAGCCTGTTAACTCATGAACGTAGATTAAGTATTTTTGGCAATATTCAACAGGAGTGCTTTCGGAAAGAGTTTTGAAAATTCCTGCTTGTGTAGCTGCAAAGGACTGTATGGAGGATTGAAAAGAAAAGTTTCTCGTTTGAGGTAAAGATGTTTGTTTTCGATTATTTGAACTTATAGTATTATTGTGACTAGACACTAAACAAAATGTATTTGCAGATAAACCACTGTAATGATTCTGAAGACCTAATTTTCTATTTTTACTCAAAACATTATCACAGATGGCTTGTTGCTTGAAAATTGCAAAATTCCTAGTAGGAGGTCCCAGGATTTTGAACATCTTGATAAATAGAAAGCTGCGTGTTTACTATTACAACATCTCGACTTGTTAGTACATCACGAACATCGTTATTATTTAAATTCTGGTTTTCACTTATTTTTATCGATGACACAGAGAAAAGTTAAGGTTATGTTTAAGAATTCATGTTAGTAGGTGGCAATGTTGCCACCCTGTATTAGACGTACTGAATTTTCAAAAAGGCATCAACTTTTGAGTGCGAAAAAAGTAAAATAAATTTGAAATTTTTGCTCAATACATAAGCTAATTTAGCAATAAATTATCATACGTATCATTTTTTTAGTTTTAAGAATAAATCAACGATTTTGTTTTCTATACAATACCTATGTAAATAGGTAAACATAAAATTATTTGCTGTTATTGGCAACGTGGGGACCATATGACCTATTTTTTTGCCAGAGGATGTCAATTGTGTTTTTGTCAAAATAAAGCTGAATCGTTTATCTATCAGGTTTTTACATTTTTTCTACACAAATTTATATTTTTAATAATTCTTGTGCATTTCCCGGGGAGCACAAAGATATACCGGCTTATTTTACATAGTTACTTATGTAAATCAAGTGCAATTTTGCATGTATTGACCAGCAGTTTGTGAGTTGCAGAGTGCAGTGAAAGTTTTCCCAAATTGGTAAGAATTTTCTTTGATTTGATAATAAAGTAGAAGCGAATTGCGTAATAATGCAGCTGTGTTTACTTTGAATTTGATTATTTCATTGATTTTACCTATCTATAATCAAAATACTCAATTGGTTTTTTAGTGCCTTATCTTATCGATATCAGATTATTGTCTTGTCGATTAGAAGCTAAAATTAGGATGCACCATTATCAATTTGGCAATCAAATTAGACCTTGATGTGCATTATTCACATTCTTCACTGGAAAACCAATGGCTTTTTATTATCAGTTGTCTTTTTCAGTTTAAAATGGGTGTGCGATTTTCGACTCAAAATATTCTGGACAACGTAACAAATTTTGTTAGCGGCCGAAAAAGAAAACATGAAGAGACTGAAGAAAATAAAGTGATTGAGGTTGCTTTGCATACACCCAAAAGGTATATTTTTTATTTAATTTAAAACGTTACTATCTAAAAAGGAATCACCAAACCAAGAATGAGTAAAATGAAATGGGCATTTATCTAGCACTTGGCTAGTAGCATATACATACTTAGTATACAAATAAATAATTAATAAATTTATCTGCTCAACATCCTATCAAACACTTGTACATTAGATGCATTTTTAATTTCATTGGGCAGATCATTAAAAAGGCAAACACCCTTATAAAAAAAAGTCTTTTGCAGTGACGTTGTTTTCACCACCAGTAGGTACATGATAGTTTAATTTAGTACAAACATTGTAAGAGTGAATACTACTTCTTCTTAGGAGTATTCTGATCGCTTTATTTTGCTGAATTTGAAGCCTATTCATGCTATCTTTGTTACATGATACAAGTAATGATATACAATACTTATCAGTCTGGATAAAACATTCATAGTGATAGGCGACTTCAATATTGATCTGACAAAAAATAGCTTTTATGCTGGAAAATTGAATGAATTAATTAACAAATATGGTTTGTACCGAGTGATTGAGTCGTGTACCTGCATAACAAAGCAGTCTGCTACAAAAATGGATCTCATTCTCATACTTAAGTACTAATAACAACGAATTACAACATAAAATACTTGATACACCAAAAAATAACCGACCACTCTATTATTGAGGTGTATCTTGATGACCATCATGATATAGAATCTAGAATTGAAAAATATAGAAATTACAAAAATATGGATATAATTCCAATAAACATTTTTCGCAACTTATAGTAATGCCAAGTTATACAGGGTGTCCCACGACGTTTTTCCTAGGTAATAACTTCGGAACACGTCATCCAATATAATTGAAATTTTGAGGATCTGGGTAACTTTTTGTGCCGCTTTTACCATTGTCGTCCAATTTCACCACTTTCGCTCCAATTTCGGGCAAGTGATGTCAACTGGCGAATCTTAAAAGTAACTCGTGGTATAATATGGCATTTTTCGTTAGAAAATTAAATTACAAAATTGGCAATGCCATGTTGAGGCTTTCTTAAAGAAAATCATAAAAAATTATACAGTGGAACATACGATGATGCGTTCCGAAGTTATCATTTGGGAAAAGCCTCGTGGGACACCCTGTATAATGGGTATATAATATTAACCAAAGGATCGAGCAAAGGATATAAGAAGGTTTTCAAGTTTTATAATCTGCAACCTATGATAACATAGTTTCATAAAGTATTTATAAGTTTACTATAACTAACAGGTATATAATAAGGTGATGTAACTATTTCCATCACCATTTTATAAAACTATTACTAAAGTATTTATAAGCAATTTTTATAAAACTTACCGTAGCCTCATTTATATAACTAGAATACCCCTAGTTATATAGAAGTGTTGTCAATCACCTTTATAAAAACTGGAAACTAGTAGTGTTTGCAGTATATATGATATAACTTTTGGTAACGATAATTTCTTTTATAAAACCTTTATTAAAACCAAACTACCCAAGTTGACATGTGAGAAATAATCCAAAATCATAATCTCGATCATAATAATAAAAAAGACGCGTTGCAAAAACACTAGGTTTAGCTGATTTTGATGCAAAATATACAATAATTGTTTAATACTGGCATACCTATGCAAAACGGAAATGACATTAATTTGTTCTTAAATCTCATTTTTATTAATATTTAAATATGTATATTTTGTGAGAAAACTGATTTGAAATAAATAAGAAGTGAATATTTCAAGGGCCCCTGCGTTTTTTTCGAAGTACCGGTTTTACTTTTGCAGTAGAAAAAGTTTCCCAACTATATTTTGAGTCTACCAATGCTGTAAAGTTAACTATAAAAAAGTACCATCGTTTTCTAATAGGTAAATATTATTGATATTTGGACTCCATATTTGTTTTTATTTAGTAACAGACATCTTGAAATAAAATTGTGGAAAAAGAATAGAAGGAGACTATTTAAAGCAATGCATTTGAGAGAGAAAAAATATGTATTTATAATGATGACAGAATTGAAAATTACCAATAGTTACATAAATTAAAGTTATATACCGTTACTAAACACAGTAGGTTTTCGAAACCTTTATAAACGCTCAATTTAGGCTCTTCCTCGGGCTCTTCAAAGGGTTCATAGGAGTAACAGAAATATTTCGGTAAATGGATATAAAACCTTAGGTTATATAAAGAAGGTGATATGTCATTAACAGTAAATATTATAAAACCAAAAATGTTTATTGGGACAGCTTTTTAATTAAGATTAATGAACACAATATAATTCCTCAAATACTAACACCATGGCTGATATTTTGGTTGACAATTTAATTTCTGCACTTGATGAATTCGCTCCAATAGAAGAAAGGGCTATAAAAGAGAACTGTGGTAGCAAATTATGGTGGAATCAGGAAATTGCAGAACAGATTAAAAAAAGAGATCAATTATACCAACGAGCAGCAATTACTTATACTGAAGAAGACTGGAAGAACTTCAAAGTACAAAGAAACAGAGTTGTAACTCATATAAGAAAAAATGTGAAAACTAACTATTTTAATGAGAAGATAGACAGTCTGAAAGGCAACTCTAAGGAAATGTGGAAGACATTAAAAAAAAAAATCAGTACAAAGGAACATGAAAATGAAAAAAATTAAATAAAATTTGATAATAAAATAGTATCAGGAAATGAGATTTGTGAAAAATTTAATGAGTTCTTCCTGGATAGCATCCGAGAAATTTCAGGAAATATAATGCCAACAAAATCCTTAGAAGACACTGTACAACAAATAGAAACCGAGCATCATATGGAAAAATTTCAGAAAATAGAAATGTCACAGTTGAGGAGAATTTTCAAAAGAATGGAAAACAAAGAAAGTGACACTGATGGCATAACTGTCCAGCTTCTTAAACATGCATTTGAAACCATAGGTGATAAATTTCTGAATATGATTAATCAAAGTTCGGAGCAAGGAGACTTTCCAGATAAGTGGAAGAAAAGTATGGTACTGCCAATTGGAAAGAAAAAAGGTACTGTGAAGTGTGAAGAATTCCGTCCAATTAATATGGTACCCCCTTACGAAAAATTATTAGAAATGTGTGTTAATGACCAAATAATGGCTTACATTGAAGAAAATGGTTTACTAAGTCAGTACTAGGCTGGTTTCAGAAGAAAGAACTCTTGTGAACAGACTGTTCTCTTTATGATTGGAAATCTGCATTGGAAGATGGAAAAATAATAGCTGTAGTTTTTTTAGACTTTAAATGTGCATTTGAGACTATTAACAGAAAGTTACTTCTTCTGAAGTTACAAAAATATGGGTTTGGTCAAATTATTTTGAAATGGGTGCTTGGGCCGTCACTTTTCATCTTGTACATAAATGACATTGTGAGGAATGTTCAGAACTGTAAAATACAACTTTTTGCAGATGATACCATCCTTTATATATCAGGTGTCAATATTAATAAAATAACAGACATAATAAATATTAAACTTGAACCAAAGTTATGTTTATTAGAAATAATTATTCTTAGTTTGGTTAATAATTTGAATATAAGTATAAATAATGAAAAACTAGAAATTGTAATCTGTTTTAAGTATCTTGGTTGCATGATAGATGAACATTTAACCTTTTCAGAAAATTTTAAATATATTTCAAACAAAATGGCAAAAAAAATTAACTTATTAGGACGTATATCAAAGGACCTAAGTTCATGGGCTAAACTAAATATATATAGAACAATTGTTGCGCCACACCTCTATTTTTGTTCAACCGTGTTGTTTCTAATGAACAATTCTGAAGTTGATACTTTATAAAAAATACAAAATAAAGCATTGCAAATCATATTGGGATACAACAGAATTGAACAGACACACTAGAAGAACTGATATGCAGAGTCTCACAAGTCTGTTGAGTGTTCGCCAAACTTTGACCCTAAACACCATGTTGTTTATATTCAAAATGATTAACCAACATCTTTTGAATAATTGCAGGTTTGGTAAAGATACACATGAATATAACACAAGATCCAGAAATAACTTTATTTATTTATAAGGGATTAAAGCAATACAACGAATTACCTGAATTTATTAAAAACTGTGTCTTATGAACTTTAAAATTTCTTGTACTGAATATATGGGGTGTTTGGCGGAGGGTTAGCCAAACTTGGTGGGTGTATAGATAGGCCCATTTCGAAGATATTTTATTGATACACTAGTGTCCTTAAGGTCCCCGTTTTTTTTTATATCATTGCTTCTGTATTATTCCCAAGAATTTTCAAAAGTGGACCTTCTAGCTGCTGTAACTTTCATCAAGATCAAGGATACCCTACAGACCAAAAACACATAAAAAAACATTTTCATAAACATTTCAAGAAAGTTACAGAAGTTAAAAGGTCTATTTTTGAAAATTCTTGAGAACAATACGAAAAAAATGACAAAAAAAGGAGCACTTAAGGCCACAAGTTTGTTAATAAAATATCTTCGAAATGGGCTTATTTATACGCCCACCGAGTTTGGCTAACCCTCCGCCAAACACCCTATTAAGCAAAATGTAAGATTATAACCATAAGAATTTAGCTATTTATCTTTTGTTGTGAAATTTTGTTACATAATGTAAATATTACTAGCCAAGTGCTATAAAATAAACTGATTATTATTATACTTAAAATGAGGAAAGACAATGGTATTATACCTACACAAGTTTTTTAGCCCATGAAAACAGATACACAAGTATTTGCCTGAAAACCCCAACCTTTTACCCTATTTTTTTACAGAGGTAGTCCCTCGGGTAGTCCACATGCCTACAAAAAACTAGCTGCGAATCCAAGTAGATTCCCAAATATTTTATTTCATCTATCAACTCCACCGTTTCAGACTTCAATGTTAGTTTCTAACGTAACTCTCTAGTCTTGTACAGTTTAGTTTAGATCCTATGATTACACTTGGTTTTAGAAGCATTGAATTTTAACCAAGATTTTAACTTATTTCTACACTTCCAATTACCTATACAATGTACTCAATCCATCATTCATAATATCAGTGATTTCATGAAAATTATTTGTCCCTGATACAGACATAAGAGTATCATCGACAAAAAAAAAACTAACAAAACCATTTTATGCTTTATATAGGTATATCATTCACATAAGTAAAAAGTAACAAATAAAAGGGGGCCCAACACACTACCTTGTGGGACATCCCGAACATTTAACGTTCTTGCAGATACACTTGTTACCTTGTTAGTCATTTGAAACTGGTTTTGCAGATAGTCTCTGGTCCAACTTAGTGCCTTCTCTTTAACACCATAAAGTAACAATTTTTCTAATATAATGTCTGTATCGATCTCTTTTAAAACTCGTTTAAGGGCCCCAAAAACACCAATTACTGTTTTGCCTTCGTTCATGTCCCTTCTCCATTTTGCAGCTACATATTATTCAACTGCGGTTTCACAAGAATGAACGCTGACGTTCCAACATATAGCAACTTCTTGCTTTCAAAATATTCTTTTAATTGCGAACATGCTATAGTTTCTAGGATTTTATCGACGAAATACCAACAAGTATTATGAAATATTCTGCTTATGAAATAAGGGATGTCCTAATTAATAGTTCCCTTAAAATTGACAGTTTTCCTACTAATCTTAAAGTAGCTTTAATAAAACCTTTGTATAAAAAAGGGGATCCCCAAAACATGGACACTTATAGACCTATTAGTATTTTACCAGGATTTTCCAAAATATTTGAATTGGCTATGTGTAACAGAATCGTACAATTTATGAATGTCTGTCACTTATTCAGTAAAAATCAACACGGTTTTTTGAAGGGAAAATCAACGCAAATGGCCATTTATCAGTTTGTTCAAACAGTTTTAAGTAGTTTCGAAAAAGGTGAGGCCACACTTGGAATGTTTCTTGATTTATCTAAGGCCTATGACTGTCTAGATAGGGTATGAAGGGTTAAGAAGTTGGAGATGTATGGGATAAGAGGACATGCACTAAACTGGTTAATATCTTTTTCTGCGATTGACAAGAAATGTCAGCATTTTTGACCGGTTGACAGGTCGCAAAACTCAATATTCTGGTATTTCAATTATGTTTCAATAGTTGCCCAAGGAATCAATGAATAACAATACGGGAAACACTTTTCCGGCCTAGGCCGGGAAAGTGATTCTCGTATTGCTGAATAATTGGAACTAAAAGACAAACATTTAACAGGTATTTAACCGATCGCAGAAAAAATAGTATGTGTATTTCGGTAGAAAAGCACATTCTCGGCCTTCGGTGTTTGCCGGCCTCGGCTACGCCTCGCCCGTCAACTTACACCGTCGGCCGAGAATGTGTCACTTTTCCACCTAAATACACAATATACTATATTTGAATGAAAAAACTCAAATTGTAGAAATAAACAAAAATGGCGATATGGGTAAATCCAAATTGTTAATTAACAATAATGGAATTGCTCAAGGTAGTATTCTGGGACCCATACTTTTTGTCATATTTATAAACGCCATCGCCTCTCTAACCAATTTATTCCATCAGTCCATAATTACCTACGCTGATGACACAAACTTACTAACAAGTAGTGAAACTATGTTGAACTTGTTAATTGATAGTAGAAAATTTCTTACAACAGCAACCAGGTGGTTCACGGAAAACAAATTGATCCTTAACCCAGATAAAACTAATATTGTACTCTTCAAAACTAAACTATCAAGATTGGAAAATGTTAATTATTTGGAAACTACAGAAAGCCTTAAACTACCAGTAACAGAAAACACAAAGTTCTTGGGTGTGTACATAAATGAAAATCTAGATTGGTCACATCACATAAGTCAGCTAACTAAAAAATTGAGTTCCGTCTGCTATGTAATACGAATAATCCAAAAATACATGAACGAGAAAACTTTAAAAATAATCTACTCAGCTAACTTTGAGTCTATTCCAAAATACGGAATAATATTCTGGGGGCGAGATTGCCACATTCAGAGTACTTTTGTAGCTCAGAAGAGAGTTGTAAGAATCATAAAAAAAATGGATTTCAGCCAATCGTGTCGAGGGGTGTTTAGGAAAATGGGCATTTTTACTGTCTATGCTTTGTATATTTATGAATGTGTTATGTTTGTTTGTAGAAATAAAAGTCTCTTTGAAGCTCCTAATAATCATCATCATCATACAAGAGCAGAGATTCTTAGCTATCCCACGCATCGTCTCCAGCTCACGGAAAAAGGTCCCCATTATATGTGTGTTAAACTGTATAACAAATTACCTCTAGCAATAAGACGATCAGAAACTCAACGAACTTTTAAGAGAGACTTAAAAAAACTGTTAATTCTATTAGAACCCTATTGTCTGGATGATTATATTAATTCGAGCGGGCAGTAAGAATAATGTAGGTATTTTCTTATGACATAATTTCACTTTGTTATGTTTGTAACTAGTTTGAAGTAAAGATTATTATTATTATTATTATTATTATTATCCACTACTGGCAGCAAATTTATTAGCCGAAATTCACCAAGAGCTGAAGGCTTTATTACTTCTAGAATTGGCAGCTTGAATAGTTTTCAGCTGTTCAAGCTTCTAATTTTGATATGAGGTTTTTTACTTTAATGTTTACCAAGGTGAACAAAGTCTATGGAATAAACCACCCCCTTAATTTTGTGCAAACAATTCCTTAAACTTCCCGCAAAGTCCCCAAAAATTCCTCCAAACTGCTCGCAAATTCCCTGCAAATGCCTGTTACAAATTCCCTGAAAATCTCCAAAATTGTTCGTGATAAGTAATTTTATTTTTTTTTATAATGCTCAGTGTTAAAACCAATAAATTCCCCCATTTTCTTATACATTCCTCCAATTTCTCATAAATTCCCTCAAGCAACACAAAAATAAACATTTTCACCAAAGAAACCTCTCTAAATTTTTCTATTCCCTTTCTAGAAAAAAACTCCTTTGCACAGCAAACTACATCTATCAAACCCTATTTATCGACGGCAAAAATTCAGACATCACTGTTTGCGCTTTGGGCAAAGAACACCGCCTGCACCGAATCTATTTATGCCAGAGTCCGTATTTTGCCAGCATGTTTGGTGGCTCCTGGCTAGAATCCACTGAAGAATATATCAAAATAGATATCATAGATCCTTCGATAACCTTAAAGTGTGAGTGAAATAATTATTAATGTTTTTTTAATAATTAAAATCAATTTTTAGCATTACAAGTAGTTTTTGGTTCATTGTACAGTACAGAAATTGAATTCAATCCTTTGGAAATTGTATCGGTCCTAGCAACAGCCACCATGTTTCAATTGGATGGTTTAATTGAAAAATGTACAGAAATTATGATGGAAACTATAAATATTAAAGTTAGATTTTTTTACCAATGAAATTATTAACTTTTCTTCATTAATTATTTGGCTTTTATAGACAGCGCTAGGCTATTACCAGGCATCGTGCCGATATGGCGATAAAAAACTTCAAGAAGTCTGCATAGACTGGTTCTTAGTGAATCTCATGTCCCACTATTTCAACAATTCTGATAAGGACTTGGGAAAAATTCCAAAATCTCTGATGCTGAAATTGGTGGCGCACCCAAACTTATTCACAATTCAGACTGAATATACTGTTTACGTTATGCTTAAGTATTGGATTTATATTAGGAATCATCCAAATGAATCGTTTCCTCATCTGAAAACTGTTAATAATTATTTTTGGAATAGAACAGGTAAGATAAGGGTTTTTGTAAAATTGTGCTCTGTCACATTATATTATGTGCATTCCAACACTCTTTTTGTAAATTGTCCTCCTAGCCTTGAAATCATTTTACAATATTTTGTTGCTTTTTTTCCAGATGACACGCCATACGTTTATTGTGCAGATGAGGGTAATACATTTTATCTTATATTTAAAGAATTAAGATTGCAGAATCTCATATTGCACGATTCGGATATCGCCTTACTCATAAAAGATAATATTATACCTAAACCCTGGGTAACTTCTGTAGCTTTGAAACAATGGAAACACGTTTTGAGAATCAATCAAAACGATGAAACAGGGTAAGTTGATCAACTTCTTAAATTCTACAACATTAATGTTATTATTTTTAGTCCCGTAGATGTACCAATAAAATTATTTCTACAAGAAAGCATCCGATGTGGGCGAGAGATTACTTCAAAGACTAGGAACACATGGCGTTGGGCCGGTTTTCATTTCGGTATCGATTTGCTAATGATTACGGACGATAATAAGGTGTATGTTAAACGAAGTCATAGATCGGATTATGAGCAGCTATTAAGTTTTCAGACAACACGACATTTAGCTATAAGGTAAAAATCGTATTTTGCTATACATTGTAAGCTGTATAGTGTTTTTTTTAGAGTTACAGTAGCTTGTCTCAATGAACAAAAACAAATTGCCTGCATGAAGCAATCAGATATACAAACTCTCAGTTTGACCAAAGGCGAAGAAGTGAAACTGATGACATTAGACGAAGATAATATGCATTATCCCTTGTTTATATCAGTAAATTTGCTTTTCACGACTCCAGTACAAAATCAATCTGAACAGAATAATAGTAACAGGGCGGAATCTTGGCAATAATCTTCTGTTCCAGGAGCGAAACTGGTGTTTCTTTTTTTTAGATTTATGTTATTTTGCAGCTTATTTTTTTGAATGACTCATATTTTTTTTTTCTACAAGGATAAAATTATTAGTGACACTGGCAGCATTTTGTGATTTTTCTATATTATAGATATATTTTAAGTTTTGTTATTTCTTATGTTTAAGTTACTTTATTTTTCTCCACCATTATATTATGTTTTGAGTTACAGATATATCCATGGTGATAAAGCACAAATTTGTAATTGTGTACCTGACCTGGTAATTTCCTTGGATAAGGAATTTATTGAAATTTGAATTCTGGTCCCTTGGACGAAAAGAAAAACCCCATTTATTTCTAGTCAAATTTTCTTACTTTACCATATTATTATATGTATAGTACTAACCCAAACTCTTTATTTTAAGTCCCAACAAAATCACAAAAACCACAACTGAAGAAATCACACTTCCAAATATTTATATTTTGGGTGGGTGTAAATACATGCACTTAAGAAGTGTGTGTCAAGTTTTAATGATGTAGTTTATATTGACAAAACAAGAAATTTAAATACATCATTTTGTCACAGTTCAGTATTTGTTAAGAAAACTTTTGTATTTTGGGTACTCTAGTAATACCTAATTAAATATGGTATTAAGCATTTAATTTTGTTATTACTTTGAATAGGTATATTATTATTATTATGAATTTTTTTAAACTAAGTTATAAAGCAGCACTTATTTTGTTTATGCAAACTTACTTAAAGCTTTCAGTGACAAAGAATATTTTTGTTAATTTGATTATGATTTGTTATATATTTTATTCTCAATAGTCAAAATCGCCCACAGCTTGAAATTTGTTGATAAATGTAAATGAGCATTACAACAAATTAAAGGTTGGACGGATTATGGTGTTATTGTAAATAAAATATTATACATAAGTTTATATTTTGGTTTAATTAGAATATGTATTTTTATTTTTATATTTTTTGTAAAGTACATACATAAGTGCTCTTACTAGTTCTTTAACGCCTACCGCAAAAATTAACATATTTTGTATTACATTATAATAATAAAAGAAATCTATATTATTAGAGTGAACCAAAAAGTGATATTATTTATTTTCATTAACTTGTTTGCTTCAAATTCTTATATCGTAGGAGGAATAGGGCATGTGCAAGGATACACAATAAGCCTTAGGCTGCAGAGTGCTGAGCATATGCCCAAAAGAATTAACTAATCTAGGAGTCTATATTGGATGCATATATTATACCAATAAAACAACAGTAGTTATAGGGTCATTTGAGCCTGGGAACTTTTTCAAAACCAGCACAAAACCATTGAAAACTAGTTAAACTAGCACAAAACCAGCATTTTTCACTGGTTTATTAGCTGGTTTCATGCTGGCTTCAAAAAAGTTCCCAGGCTCAAGTGACCCTATAGGTAGGTACCTACTTTTCACTACTTTCAGTACTTTATACTGCCATACTATACCAATCGCCTTACCACTGGTCTTTTCTTACTGTCCTCTGGCTTACTCTGAATTCTTTGTTTATCAGTGTTATTCTTACCTCAATTTTCTCGTGTATTTACCTGTACCTATAAATTCTTCACTTCACTGCCTTTGTTCTAATGGTATTTCCATTGAGCATAGTATCAAAAAACGGGGATACGGGGAAAACTAGTTAAACTAGCACAAAACCATTGTTTTTCACTGGTTTATGCTGGTTTCAAAAAAGTTCCCAGGCTCAAGTGACCCTATAGGTAGGTAAAACCTACTTTTCACTACTTTCAGTACTTTATACTGCTATACCATACCAATCGCCTTACCACTGGTCTTTTCTTACTGTCCTCTGGCTTACTCTGAATTCTTTGTTTATCAGTGTTATTCTTACCTCAATTTTCTAGTGTATTTACCCGTAGCTATAAATTCTTCATTTCACTGCCTTTGTTCTAATGGTATTTCCATTGAGCATAGTATCAAAAAACGGGGATACGGGGAAAACTAGTTAAACTAGCACAAACCAGTGTTTTTCACTGGTTTTATGTTGGTTTCAAAAAAGTTCCCAGGCTCGAGTGACCCTATAGGTACCTACTTTTCACTACTTTCAGTACTTCATACTGCCATACTATAGCAATCACCTTACCACTGTTCATTTCTTACTGTCCTCTGGCTTATTCTGAATTCTTTGTTTGTCATTTACCCATAGCTATAACTTCTTCACTTCACTACCTTTGTTCTAATGGTATATAATAAAAATATCAAGGCAATCAAGAAGAAAGACCAGTAATAACTGAAGCTTTGAGCATTGTGAGCTCCAGAAAACTTTAACTGAGAATCATGAATCTATATTTTGATCATCATTGGCTCTTGATTCGCAGGAGAGGCATTTTACGAAATTTTTTTAATTAAATCTGGCTATTGGTTGACTCTACATTTATTCTTTTAGAGGCCAAATATTGATAATACACCCAGTTTTAACAAAAAAAATGCATGCTCAATTTTGAAAAATGTCAATTTATATGTCAAAATTCAATAAAAAGCATTTACATTTCATGAACTTAAACTCCACACCATGGATCCATTGGAATGTAAGTATAGCATAAAAATGTTAAACTACTAAGATCCCAATTATTTTTGTAGGTTGCACCTTTGACGTGTTCGACCAAGGCACGACTTATTTAAAGCATCCAAGACAAGACTGGCAAAGAAAAACGAAAATGCATTTTCCATATCTGACTAATTGGTCGCAAATTGATTTCGCTCCACCGGAACTGCCACGACGAGTAACACAATTGGATTCATGTCGTTTACATGAAAAACGACATTTTCCTCAAATGCAGACCAGATCTTACTTGGACGATTACTTTTGAGATGGATTCATAATATATATTTTTGGTACCTGTGTATTTATGAATATTGAATGAATAGCAAAAATTGTTAGTCACACAAAAAAGCCCATTTCTGTCAAAGTAATTTTATTTATTTACAATAATATATAATAATCCAAAATAATAAAATAAACCTATATTCTCAAAAATATTAAATAATATACATATTTTACAAAAAGGTATTCTTAAATTAGGTCTACCAAGAGCGAGTTGATAGAAAAAATAACACAAAATTCACACATAATCTTTCAACAAATTATCTCTCATTCTCCCTTCCAAATATCTTTTACTCGGATTAACATCTCTAAGTATCTGATTACAATCGCTCGTATGCAAATAACTTGTGAGCAAACTTTCAATATCTCTTACGAACCGTTCTGTGTAACCTAAATTGAATAAACTCTGAAATAGCGCGTATCTTTCGCATTGGTCTACATCAGTTGCCATTAAGGCGTACGCTACACATTGGAGTCGGAGAGAATCAGCAGCACTGGCACCAAATTCAATACTCCACTTGTAGATGATTGGGACTGTATCTGAAGATATATGAAACTGTTCTACTGATGCAGTTAGGAACAGGCAAAGGTCCTTAATGAGATATCTATAATTGAGTTAATGAGGATTTTTGTGCAACTGATTTTAGAGGCATTACCTGTCAGACAACATTATCACATCCAACAAAGTTTCCAAATCCAAATCAACCTCAACTTCAGTATTATCCATGTTTTTCAACAGATACAACATATAGCTGAAGTTTTTTGGCTCTACTTCCGATAAATGTATTTCACTTTGACCGCTTTCCATAAAATTTCCGTTGAGCATAGTGTCAAAAAATGGGGATATGGTCACTAAAAAGTCTCTGTCGGCTTTAATAAGAGCTCCGTTATCAAATTTCAAAGTCATGACTGCTTCACAATTTACTGGAAGTTTGTAGCTGTTTGGTGTTAGTTTGGGCCAATTGGGTCGCTTAGAGAATTTTCTCGTATTGACCAATAATTGATTTGAGGCAATCTTATTAAGAACTTTAATGCAACGACGATTATTTTGTTCATTGTTTTCTTGAAACAGTTTCATTAGAACATCTAAGCCTTTGTATTTCAGCATTAGTCTTGCAAGAGTCGATGCATTTCTTGAATAAAAATTATTACATTAAGCAATATAGGTATTTCATTTTAGAAAAATATATTCACCCAATGATATATGGTAAAACCATAACTATGTTTTCTTTTGCTTCTGTATCACCTTTCAACAACATACGTGCTAGATATCCTTTACCCGCTCCACATTCTGCAGTGTTGCTGAATTTTCTCAAAATTGTGGAAGAAAAATAGGAATGCAAAGAACATTTTGTACAGGAATCGTGTGGAGTCGCCTCAATATCAGTTAAAGTTTTAATGTAATCTGTTCGAATTATTGGTATCAAATGTTGGTGACATCTAAAATACAATTATTATCAAGATTCCTAAAATAAATACATACAGTGATAAATTGTACAAAAAAATTCTTACTTGACTATATCACATATAATATTGATGACATCAAACTGCCTATTGATGCCACATTTGGTAAGTTGCATCAAAAGATCCACATTAGCTAATTGAGGTTGGGGCGGTTGTAATTTGATGAAGGATTTTAGTAATTTAATTGCTTCTAGGCACAATTTATTTTTAAGTGATGTTAAAATGCTTTTGATCTTATCATCTGAAAGTAACTCTAAAAAAAAAATTGTTTTAGTAAAAAAAAATTTAGTTTAGCTATGATAATTTTACTATCTTCGAAATCATTATCAAACAGTTCTTCTAATTCTGAAACGGGAGCATCATCATTATCGTGTGGTGAATGAAAAAATTCAGTGTCGTCCGCTTCACTGCAAACTGGCGAATAATTATCGGAATCGGATTCTAAAAATTAAAAAAATAGCAAACATGGTTTTTGGGATTTGTTCCACTAACCATTCACTAGTGATCTAGTTGGACTTGAACTGGGCTCGCTCCAGGAAACAGCTGTTTCACTGTCTGAACTGGAACAAGAACTGCGACACCGGATGTTTATCAAAAACTGATCGAAAACATCTGCATCGTCATCACTAGAACTTGGACTGCACTCTTTCAAAGTCTAAAATAATTTTATCATACATAGAATCGCATCTTACAGTTTTATTCCAGGCTCTTGAAGATTGTATTATTTTCTCACAATGTCTTACCTCGTCATGAAGCAGTTTTCTTTTGTTGTATTCAGGAGTGCGCAATCCGCTCAATCCAAATATATATTTTCTCTTCCTTTCGCTAGCGTGTTTTAAATTCAGTACTTCAGGAGGTCCCACAATCCAAGTAAGTTTGTCTATAAGAATTTGTATTATGCCTTGTTCCAATTGCAGCAATAGTAGCTGGTCGTCGTGTTTGAATTTGTTCAGAGCGTTTATGAGGAGGATACATGATTCAGCCTGAAAAATATTTCATTAATTTTACTCTTGCTCTAGTTCTCAGTTATAATCCTTACCACATTGTTATCTGATAATTCTTCAAATTCTTTCAAGACTTTCATAAGCAAAGGTATAGCCTGTCCACATCTTGTAGCATTTCTATTAGCTGGATGATCTAATAGATAGCACAAACATTTCAAGTATTCACTATAATGTCCATTGAATTCTTTGACAATTGAATGCTTTTCTAATACTTGCATAAATTCGCCACATATTTCGGTTATAGGCAGTTCAGATTGCAACTGACAACTTCTTAAATAGTTCATAACAATTTTTACAATCCTTCTAGGTGCTAAAATTACTACGCTGCTAAGGTATACCAGAGAATTGCCTCTTTCAGTCTTTTGCATCTAAAAATTTATGGTTTTATTATTGAGGCAAAAGAAAAACTGGATATTACCTCTAATATGGCATGGTACAAGTTGAACTTTGAATATTCCTGAATAACCCTTACAATGTCAAGGAGTACTTTTTTATTTTGTTCATCTTGCTGCCATTTTAAACAATATTTGATAAAGAGAGCTCCGATTGCTTTCAAAGCTCCAAATTGCATAACTAAAGCTGTAATGGTGTGGCAATTTAAAAGTTCCCTAAAATAACCAATAGTTCAAGGGGTGTACAATTTTTTCACCTTTTGCAATTGGGTGAGATAATAGGAAACTACATAGTCTACCTTAAAGCCCTTATAGAGGTCACTATCGTAGCTTCAGAGATTCTCTCTCCTTCATCAAGTTCATCTCTGGATGCTTTTTTCACTATGTCCACCAAATGGGAAACTATAAATGGTTTTTTATCAATAAGGATAGTGGACCATTGTTCCCTGTGCTGACACATATTTCCAATAATGCGAAACGTTCTGCCATTTATGCTGTCTTCTTTCGGATGTTTTTTTAAAAGTTGGTTTAGCACTGACATGATATTATGCTGAGTAATCTACAATAAAAGCAATTTTGATGAATTGATTTTAGTCATGAACTTGTCATTTTAAAGTTCAATAATTCTGTCTAAGTACTAGAGATCTTATATTTGAATATGTATACAACCAATCAAATCATATTTTAATTATTATCTAAACAGAACATCAAATAAAACAAAATTTTAATTATTAGGTAACACAACACATTAAAACCTCTACAAAACTTTCCAATCCAATATTCAAAAGATTTACATCCAATTTGTTTACCACAGCATTTGCCAGTTTTAAAAATCTGCTGAGGTGACTGGAGAGGTAAACCGCCAGCCAAATTTATACACTACATAGGTACAGGGTGGCCCGTTTATTTTGTCTTATCTCAGTATATGAAAATTTAGATATTTTATGACAAAAAGTTAAATACAAAAGTTGTACAGCTGTATGCAACATCCTCTTTTAACTTAAAAGCGCATTTTAAAACTGGTACCTTGAAAAATTTGTATGGTTTAGAATACACATTTTTAAAAGTGACCAGTTTTAAAAAGCGCTTTTAAGTTAAAAGAGGATGTTGCATACAGCTGGTAGGGTTTAAATCAATAATTTGTTTTTTTATATTTGCGCATATACAGGGGGAGTCAAAAAAGTGTGACACATCAGATTTAATTTTTTTTAATAGAACACCCTTTTAAAGACAAATATAAATATACATAGTTTGATAGGGTTGTTATGCACGTTTTCGGATTAATTTACAGTTTTTTTCCGGGAATGGCCAATTTTTAGATTATTGTAGAAACGTTAGACGACAGAAAGGGAAACATGCAAATAAACAAATTAATGATTTAAACCCAACAACTTTTGTATAAAAGTTTTTTTCATAAAATATCTAGATTTTCATATACTGAGATAGGACAAAAGAAATGGGCCACCCTGTACATGGAGTACAAAGGAATGCATAGGAATACAAAGAAACACATAGGAATACAAGAATACATATGACTACATTACATACATACAAACGCGTGTAAACATTAAAATTTTGAAGGAATAAACTCGAGAATACATAAGAATACATAGGGTATACATCAATGACATCAAAACACAGATAGACCGAACAATAAACAAAATTTTCGTATGACAACATCTCTCTGTCTCTTTTGGGTCTTTGTGCTATCCCCACCACTGAGAATGCCAAATTTTGTCTTGAATCCCTAAATAATATATTTTTCTCCTCTAATTAACATTTTCAATTTTATTTCTGAACTCAATTTGGCAACAGCAGATTATAGCAAAACACCGCCCAGAAGCGGCTTGTTGAATGGCAGGCAGGTGTTGATTGTAATAGCTAGCTATCTTTATTGCAAGCAGGGATTATTCATTAGCGTTAAACAAGAAACGACTAACACGATATTGGTACTCCCAGAATAAAGGGCTCGTATCGAATATTTTCAGTTTATTTGTCAATTTGTTATTTTATTTATTCATCCAATTAAATTTCGAGATATATTCACGTGTGGGCGGGGTTTTTTACACCATTTTGAGCAATGATGTCTCCCTACCCTGACCCCGCGAGCAACTCACCTCCCCTGGCCCATGGGTGGTCTTGTCAACACAACAAATAATAGTTTATGAATGGGATGATCCGTCTATCTGTGTTTTGATGTCATTGGTATACATTGAATTACATAAGAAAATAAGAATACATTGGCGGTTTACTCCTCAATTACATTATTCACCACTCACCACACCAGTTTAAACAGAATACAAAGATTCTGATAATGATCTCTCTTTTGAGTTAAGCTGCATTTCTTAAAGTGTAAAATGTTATGTTATTAAAATCTCTCAAGTTACGCATTACAAATCCCAATAATTACATTGCTTTATTGGATAATTTTAATATGTTTGAAAAATTCAATTTAACATCGTCGATATCCCTATTGAAATCAACCCTATCAACTTCAATTCCCTTTATGAAGTAGTTGAAAATATGTGGATTTTTAGACCTATGGAAAGACATCACTTGAAGAGATTGTCAAGTTCCCCTTCTGAAATTTCACAGTCATCAGTCATGGATATTTTGTATCATGACAAAGACTTTCTTTTCATCAGCAAGATTGAAAACTTTACAGTGTTTAAACACATGTTAACATTGATCAAGAAAAGATTGAAAATAACTCGGAAAATAATAAGAGACAGATGCCAACCCTGAAAAACATCCAGAAGTGATGTTAGTCTCTAATGGGACTACATTTCCTATTTTCACTTTCTGTTTTCATTCATTAAACCTTATACTTCCAAGTTTTATTCCAGAATTTTATGGTCAACTCTGTTAAACGCCTAGGATGTCAATTGTACACCCTTCCTCCAGTGCATCAAACAGAGTCTGTTCAAATTCTAACAAGTTTGAGACTGTGGATTTGCCTTTCATAAAACCATGTTATTCTGGTATTATAACTACTATCACAGAATATATAGCTACTATGCATGACATTAATGGACAATGAACCTAAATTAAGTTATTAACACTTAAGCTGGATTTATAGTGTCAGTAGCAGACGAGGTAGCAGTAGTAACAGTAACAGTAACTTAAAACTTAAGAACAGATATGAAAATAACCATTTCTTAAGTTTTACTGATAAGTTTTGTAAGTGAACTATAAGTGGCCTTAAGGTCCGCGGTGTTTTAATATTTTACTGTTACTGATACTGACACTATAAATCCAAATTTATTACACATAAAAACTCATTGTTAACAACACACACATCTTTTGTAGATCTTATATAGTAGGCAAACCCATTTTTATACTGAAGTTACTGAACCATTGCAAATGGGATTTTGAAAGTTCTTCCAGTAGGCCAAGTATGTAGTGAAGGTGAGTACTTATAGGATTGTACCTGTATTAGCAGATTTGATTTAGCTATTTTTCTGAGTTTAAACTTACTTATTTGTAGGACAGGATAGGTAGAACCTTGGGTAGAACCTACATAGGGGTGGCTTATTAAGAAGGAATACAATAGAAAGCGTTTTTTTTTTTTCAAAGAAAAAAGTGAAGAAATTTTGTTTGAGAAGTTTTTAAATAACCCTGGTATTCTGCCATTTTCTGCAACGTTGCCAAACCTACCAAAATTCTTCTAATATAACAAAATTCCAGGCTTACCACCTCAGTTGTGCACGTTCTTTCCATCAAACAATTTCCGAGGATACTCAAAGCTAAGTCGATGCAGTTCCTGTGTGTCGTATTTAAAATAATCGCCGTGATTTGTTTGAGACATCCTCGGTCGCGAAGTCTGACAACGTTGTTTTTATTTTTCGGCCAATCGACTTCCTTCCGGATCCAACCTAGGGCTTTTTGGATCGTTTTGGGGTCCGAGGACTTTTGCAGAACCGAAATTCCGGTGTCGAAATTTGTATTCGACATGTTTCAACACTCTTTCTATATAATTTAGAAAAATTACATTATTTTTATTGTTTTCTTTAAGTTTTGACAGGAACAAACTTTTTCTGTCAACAGTGTCAACTGTTGTTTTTTAAGGCCCTTTCACTTTTCAGGCACGGCACTGGATGATGAACTCTGAAAACGCCTATAGAGTGATTAGGGTTACTGCCTGCTCGAACAGATCTGAAACGACTGACTGGAACAGGGAGCAGTATTCCTGTGGGAATTGGCATAGGCTCGTTCAGCATGTTCTTTTTATTACATATTCTAAAAGAGCGTATTGAGTTTAGCAGTTGTGCAAAATTTCATAATTTTCCGAGCCCTTGTTCATATTTAAATAAATTATCAAAAAGCTCCAAGTTTGGAAATTTCGAAACACGCGGTGACGTCACTGCATCTCTCAAGTTGGTCGTGTGACGGCCTTTAGCCCGTCTTGACTGGAGAGATGACGTCATACCATCTCTAAGCGATGAATTTCTGAGGCATGTTTTATTATTCAAAGCCGCATAACTTTTTTAATATTTATCCAATTGCGCTGAATTTTTTTTTGTGTGCTATATGTGAGTAATACTCCATAAAAATATCAAAAAACGTGGTTAATGGAACCTCACTGAACGAGCCTATTGAATTGATTTCTACTACCGCTTTGAGAATAGAATTCTGGATCCGCTTCTAGTATTACAATCCAGGGCAAGTTAATTACGCAAACGCAACAGAGTTTTGTCGCGTGACTCCAAATTGATTTTTGTTTGTGCCCCAGAGAGACAGAACGAATTCCTAAACGTTAAAATCCTTTTCTACATAAAATCGACGAAAAAATTAACTCGCACTCGCACAGCGTAAATAGCAAGTAATCCATCAAAGTCTGCTGGTGACGTCACACTACTATCACCTGGGGCGAGTTCAGGAATGACACACCCTGTGTGAGTGTGCTATGGGCCCAATGGCCAATTGTCAATTCAGACACACCCATAAAATTGCACTCGCACTCTGTGCGTTATTTGTTATTTTTGAACGCGGCCCTGCTGATAGTGGTGTGACGTCACTCGCAGACCCGCTGCCGACTCGAGAATTGGCGAACGTACGCCTTATAATAATGAACAATCATGTTAGTTTATGATTCTGGATCTAATACACAATTAATTCAGTAATAATAAACTAGACTTTGTTTTAATTTATTGAAGGCAACCTGAAAGTCGCATGAATAAATATGAGACAATCAATTTTCAAATTTTAAAGAAATTTTGATTTTCCAGTAGAAAATCGAGTGTCTAGTAGTTGCGCCTTTTTCAAAACGGCTTTCTTCTGAGCTTCATCAAATTTATTAACTTGCAAATCAGTTTCTCGGTTGAAAGGCTTTCTTTCAGTGGTGCCAGGGCTCTGAAACAAAAAAGCAAATTTTAAATTTTTGGTTATTCTTCATTACAACTGATTACTTACATCATTTTTCTGCTTTTTGATTTTATCCTCATGCATCTGAACCAAACTCTTTGATTTCCTTTTATGCTTTTTTGCTTGTATTTCTTGCTCCTTGTCCCTCTTATGTAATTCTCTTAATTCTGCTTCAGCCTTTAAATCCAACGGCTTCTCTTTCTTTTTCTGTTTGCCCTTTTCACTACCAATGACGGTCCAAGAGGATCTATGACAAAAAAAAAATTGAATTAGCTGCAAAAATCCTAAACAAGTTAACTTACCTATCAGACATATCAGGACCAGCCTTATTCCTAAACTGCCTTGGTCCCAAACCCAAATTTGCAGCCTTCACTTCTGGCAACTCCAGCATCCAAGATTCTCTTACAGTTTGTGGATTTTCCTTTGGTGTGATTTTTTCTATTTGCATTTGCAAAGCTCTTTCTTCCAAAGCTATTGATGCGGAAGAATTCCCAGACATACCGGGAGGTAAAGGTCCGAAGACATCTTCTTCAAACTCTACAGAATCATCATCAGATTGGGATTGAAGTTGTTTTCTTAAGTGATCAGGCAAACTTGGACCAAATGATTTAACAACATCCTTATTACTATCTTCATTAGAATTTTCCTCTTGTTGTTTTTTCAAGTGAGGAGGTAAACTTGGACCAAATGATTCAACAACACTTTCATTACTATCTTCAGCAGATTTTTCCTCAAACTGTTTTCTTAAGTGAAGAGGTAGAGTTGGCCCAAATGATTTGTCATTGTCAGCCATATCTGATTGTTTTGGAGGCAATTGAGGCCCAATAGATAATTCTTGATCACTTTTTTTAATCATATGAGGTGGCAAGGCTGGACCAATGTCACCAAAATCTTTAGATTCAGATCGGGCTTTGGCCAAGTGAGGCGGTAATGAAGGACCAATAATTTCTTTTTGATTACTATCATCATCATAATTTTCACTTGTGTTTCTAGTATTTTCAGTTTTATATCTAATTCTTTCCCTAGAATCTTCTGAATCAGATTCAGACATGATCTTTTAAATTGAATTTAACTCTAGAACAAATAATGGATGTCATAGAAAATATGATTTAGGTATGGAAAAATAATGACTAAATACATTAATTTTTTTATTAAAAAACAAAATTGACTTAAATATAAGAGGGACAAGAGTTCATCATCAAAATACATTAGGTACAAAATACATTGCTCTCCCTTCGTCAATAACAAAAATGATAACAGTCTTTGGTTTTTGAATCTAAAACAAGTTCAAACTTGGATTTAATTCAATTTACTAATTTATCCTTAAACTATCATCTTTTTAATTTTCCTCATACTATACTGAACACTTTTTAAAGCTCCTGCTGTCAATATTCCTTTGATACTTTGTTTTATAGAAGAATTCCAAATAATTTGATTAATCTTTTGATTAACTATTGTACCACAGTCTGGATCATAAGCGATTGCTCTTAAAACATCTTCAGTGTCTTGTCGAAAATTGCCTTTATTCCAATATCTGGTTAATAATTTCTGAGGCCATCTGGGCAGTTGGTTCAAGTGATGCAGCCTGGCCAAAGGACTTACGTCTTGAGCGCAATACTTTGTAGAATCAGTTTCGCTGAGTTTAAACATTGGAAAGTCAACATAGTCGTGAAGATTCAAGAGAAATGGTTTATATAAACTTCTAAACCCTGTCATTTGAGCTTTAACAATATTATCTACTTTATTTTTGTTTTCTCCAAAATACATCCGAAAATCGCCATGATAACTTAAATTTGATACTGTATGGTAAAATTCATATTCAGTAAATGACTCAGGGAGTATTAGTAGAGCTGCATGGACTGCTGATTGTAAATTTAATTGAAGAGCAGTTTCTAGTTCAGTATCAAGAGGTTTTGAAATAATTTCCACAGGTTTATGTAGTCTGCCAGCCATATATAAATGAGACCATTCCAGCAAGTCTGTTATCAAGTCATCAGTAGCAATAACACCATATTTAATCAGACAATCATCTACACGTACTAGGGTATTAAAGTAAACTTTGGCCCCAAAATTTCTTTGATATCGAGTCACAAAATCATGTCCAAAATACTTGAGCCCACTATAATGAGACGGATTTAAATACATGTTGGTTTCGTGCCATCTGGCTGGATTTTTCACAGCAAAAACCAAGTCTATCATGTTTTGTTTATCAGTATTATTGAGTTGTTTTTTGACTCCGGATCCGTAGGCGAAGCAAAAGGTGAAGTTTTGTGGAAATTTTGCCATGATTCTTTTGTAAATCGGAGGAATTGTGGTGATTTTTGTTACAGACATGATGGAGTTTTAAAACACGTCTTGGTATTAATGAAGAAAATTGTTGTTTATAAAACATAGAAAGTTTTTACTTAAAAAGATAACCTAAAAAACTTACCACAAAATAAACACAAAACACACAGGAATGACACAAATGTCACAAACATAAACAAAAAAACTACAAAAAAATGGCCGTACTGTTCACGGGGTTTTCGTTTATGCTCCTGTTCCGAGCAGCTTTTTGAATCAAAATAGAAGTACAGGATGACACAGTAAGAAGGGCTTATCGATATTCATAGCTATCGCTATCGATGCAATATTCTTTTAGAACATGACTGAATTTTTATATCCATTAATTGAGAAAGTATCGATACCATCGATACGAAATTTCTGTTTAAAGATAGGCTGCCTGAATTTATTAGAAGTAAAGTAGAATTATTCAATTCTTATAAAAATAGAAAATTGTTAAACGCCGGTTTCTCAATAGCAAGTCACCCCTGGGTTAAGCATAACTTCAGGGTAAACACTTTGTATTCTTTTCACACCTAGGAGGAGCTCCGGAACAGCTCCGGGGCATTACGAGCTTATTCCTTTCGAAAAAGTGTTCGTTGCACCACGCATCTGTTCCTTTCAAATCGGTGACTAAAGCTATTACTCATAACGGCGAATTCCGGATTTTTATTTTACGGATTTTTTCTGTTGGTCGATTTTGAGGTCGATTTTATTTAAATTTGACAGGTTTAAATATATTCGACCAATAGAAAAAAATTCGCAATTCGCGGGTATGAGTAGGTACTAGGCTTAACACCGGAGCGAGTAGCTCTTCCAACCCAGAGTCGCTTTCTAGTGACGCAATTTAAGCACTCCTAAGCTGCTCTAGAGCGCTCCGGGCTGTTTATAGGTGTTACAGGGCTTCAGAGTTTCGCGCAACTGAACTGTTCGTTTTTCCTTATTCCTGTCCTCTCAAGCATCTGCAATTTTATGGGTGCATCAAAAACACGACGCTTAAAGTAAGTGCTTTCCAGTGAAGCAGCAGTTGTTTGGAGCATCAGGTATGAAGCTACGGGTGTGGAGCACCTTAAAATTCGTCACTGAAAAGCGGCTCAGGGTTGTGTTTAAAAATAGCACTCTGGGTGTGAGAGTGACCCTAGAGTAGCTTTAAACCGTTCCTAAATTAACAGATGCTTACTCGGAGCGTTACGCTGGAATCGTTCAGAAGTCGAGAGTTGACGTGCCCAGAGTGCGCCCAAATTACCCCACTCAGGGACTGGGTTGAAGCGGTTTTTATCGAGTTTGACTTGATTTTATATAAGCTTATTTTCATTATGATTTTAATGATGGAGTCCTCTAAGATGAAGTCGAAAAATATGGATATCAACAATGTTGACTTATTGTCGTTGCGTTGAAGAATAACAAGCCCCTTGTTGACGGCGGTTCTGTAATTATTCAATATTCAACACATAAAAGGTTAGTTATTTCACTATCTGAAGCACTTTCTTCAGATGAAGGATGTTCCAGCAGGACCTCTTTTGATACATGCTGATGACGTCAGAATACTCTGACAAACAACTACTCTACTCTACACTCTATTTCTAAACGCACTCCAGCAGGAAAGTGTACATTTCACCATCAGGATTTTGCGCAAAACGTAATATTTGTGCGTAGAATCCGAAATTCGTATACAGAGGGTTGGATTCTCAATAGCGAGTCACCTCCGGGTTCGTTTTAACTCCACAGGGCAAACATGTCTTACTGCGTTGCAATAGCCGCTTTCCAGCTGTGTGCTTCAAGCACGGTGCAGCACAGTGTTCTGTGTTTGAAACACAAAAAGTTAGCAGCTCTCGAATTGCAGTACGGCTGGAACACGAACACGCGCTTGAAGCATTTGCGCGCGCAAAAGCTCGATTGCGTGCTCAAAAGCTGGAAAGCGGCTAAATGTTTATCCTGGAGTTATGCAACCCGGGGGTGCTTTGCTAGAAACCGGCCTCGTTCTTGGGACGGTTTATTTGCGGTTTGAAACCGTCCAAATATTGACAGTAAGGTCTGTTCGCAGAGAAATCACAAACCAGTCAGAGTGAATCTCATTGGTTGAAACTAGTTTTCTGACTGTTTCTGATTGTTTTCAACCAATGAAATGCGCTCTGACTGGTTTGTGATTGCTGTGCGAACAGGCCTGTTAACACAGCATTAATAATATGACAAATGACATTCATTCGAATTTTGCATAAAGCTGGATTTTCATGCATCCGTTTTTCCGACCGTCCGACGAAAGATGTACGGAAAACATTCTATTCTGACATAATCGTATAAAAATATGTCAAAATAGAAGATTTTTCGGACATATTTCGTCGGAAAACGGATGCATGAAAAGTAAGCCTTATCCTTATCGATAGATATCGATATGACAAATTCATATCGATATGTAGTACCATCATCGGGAGCTTCTCGATGTACCCAAGTCACCACAAGTAACTGGGGCAGCATCAATTAGCTCTTGTCCTATTACATGAATTTTATTATCAAATATTTGTCAAACTATGAATCAAATGCATTGAAATGAATGACAGTAGAATTAGTTCAGGAGACTATTATACATTATTTGTGTCCCAGATACTTTTGGTGATGATGGTACTCGGTTCAATTCCGGAAAAATTTCTTCTATCTTCTGACTCAATTTCTCCAGATCAATTTCTCCAGATCACTTTTTTCCAATTTCCGGCTCTTGAATTTGTTGAAATAAAAAAAATTCAAGAGCCTGGAATAGAAAAAATATGAATAAATGAATGTCCTCTTATCAACCATTTATTTCTCAGTTTTCCTATATTTCTTCTCCGATGTCGGTATTTAATTCTCAGTTTTTCCTGTCACTTTTGTCTATTTCCGCTAAAAATATATGCAGAACATTTAAGACTTTGGAGCAGAAACAAAATAATGAATTACTCGAAAATAAAAATCGAGAATCTGGGATAGACAAAAAATATTAATATCTTTTAGGTAGGTATATATATCTACCATTTTTTTCTTATATAAATTTTCTCACATTTCTTCACTCTATTTCTCAATTTCTGTTTATTCCAGGCTCTTGAATTTGTCGAAATCAAGAAAATTTAAGAGCCTGGAATTGAAAAAACATAAAATGTCCTCAATTTTTCTTGCATTTCTTCTTTCTATTTCTCAATATTTCCGTTTCAATTCTTGTCTATTATTTCTGGCTCTTGAATTTTCGTTTTCTTCTAAATAGAGAAAATTCTAGAGATTGGAACAGAAACATAATATGTATGAGTCTACCAATTTTTTCCCGATTCCTCCTAAATTTCTTCTTTCCACATTTCTCAATTTTTCCAGTTCCATTTTTATCTATTCCCGGCTCTTGAAATTGTCGAAGTAAAAAAAATTGGAGAGCCTGAAATAGAAAAAAACATTAATTTTCATATATCTTCAAATTTTTTTTCAACTTGCCAAAAGTCATTACGCATCATTTTTTAAACTCCAATAAAACAGTCATTTTCCTAACAAGTGCGCAAACTGATACTTTTCTGCCCGCAGAAGCAGTTATAGATAAGCTTTAAAAGGCACCTAACATGTTAGGTATATAGGTATATTTATTTTTACTATCTGTAATGACCCGGGAAAATAGACCCGTAATTTACAATGTTCTTTACTGTAAAAATTAAATGTAATCAAATAATCAAAAACTGAATTTCCTGTATTTTAAATCAGTATCTATAAATTGAAAGATGATGAAACAAATTAGCATTGACCCAAATTAATTGAAATATTTATATCGGTACGTTCAAATTTTAAACAAGCCATCAGTGACCCAGCACGTGTCATCATTTGAACTCGTAAATAAAAACCCGGAAAAAATCAACTACAAGGTTAAGCACCTAATTAAAGTGGACCCAAAATGACAAAAATTTCGAACAGATTGCAACATCATCTAAATAATGAAATTAATTTTTGGAATAATATCTAGGTCGACCAATAGAACTGATTTACAGATGGTCAAACGACCGTCCATTGTCGATTTTCGTGGGTAATTAATAATATTTTAGGGGGAATCGAAAAATATAAATACAGGGATTTTAGAAGATCAGTGGAGTTTTAAGTTGTCAGTTCAGTCTACACCATTTCCACTTTTAGTTCAAAATAGATAAAGTTGATTTCAAAAAGCATCAAATGTATTTCAAAATAACAACTTTAATTTAAAAAAATAATCTTTATAAACTTTATTTCAAAATACATCAAATGTATTTCAAAATACCCAAATTTATTTCGAAATACATCAAATGTATTTCAAAATAGTGAAATGTATTCCAAAAATGGTCAGTTATATTTCAAAGATTACCAATTCGGTTAAAAAATAAAGTAGCTATGTGTTTATATCGTACATTGAAAAAATTCAAATTATAACCAGACACCTTGTACATCCCTTACAGTTTTTGATATAAGAAATGATGATTTTGAAATACATCTGATTTTTTTGGAAATAAAAATGGTACAGTTTGAAATACATTTGATTAATTTGAAATACAAATGATATATTTGGAAATTGAAATAACATATTTGAAATACAATTGATTACTTGGAAATATAAATTACACTTTCTGAAATACAAATGATACTCTGTGAAATAAAAGTGACAAATTTGAAATTAAAATATCAGTTTTTGAAATAAAAGTGATTATTTTGAAATACATTTGACCGAATTTGAAATACTGTTGGAAATGGTGTAGTTCAGTTTTAAGTCTACAGTGACTAATGAGTCAGTGCGGATAAAATTCGCGAAGAGTTTATTTTATTTTGTTGCCTTGGGAAAACGGGTTTAATCGAATGTTTGAAAGTAACGGAAAATTTGTGAATGAAAGAACATTAAAATTCGTCCAACATTATGTGCGAGCTCTAGAGATATTTAAAGTAAATTAATTAAGCAATTTTACGAGTGAAAAGTTAAATGTAAGTACTCTAGTGACTAGTGATACTTTTTGACTTTATAAATGATGAATGACTATGAAGTGAATTAACTTTGGAAATTTAATGCATAAAAACTTGAATGATTTGACTGTAAAAACTTTATTGCATAACTTTAATTGCCTTCGAGTATAATGACATTTAAATTAATTTTGCAAAAGAATTAACAAAGAAAAATTATAATGCTCTTAACAATATTCGATTTTGAGTAGGAATTAATTAAGAATGTTGAATTGGATTGTCCAATTGAAGTTGAAGATCTTTGATTATTTTAATTTTGGTTTAAAGTATAATAAAATATAATTTTGTAAACCTCAATAGTGTTTCTCTCTTTTGCGAATAGACCCCCTCCACAATTTTATAGGTAGCCGCTCAAGGAAGTAAACACCATCAATATACCGCTCGCCATTTACCATCTAACTTATTAAATAGAGTACTTGAGCGCGTTTTGCTACATATCCTTCACAATGTAGAAACTATAAAACCTTTGGATATACAAAATAGGCATTTACCGCATTCATTTTCGTGCTGCAAAATGCTACTTTGCGCTCACAAATGAGTACTAGAAAAGGGTATCACGCACACGCTCAAAGATTATCAAAGGGATTCGATTGTTTTATACTTTACCAAATGTTCCCCTTTTCCAGTCTTTTTGATATAAAGAGCCTCAACCTCAATGAATAAAGAGTCGAAACGTCTGCAATTTTTGACAATAGGTTTTTGATAATCTTCAATAATTGCTTATGTACATTTTACGTCCAATATTAAAGCCAAAGCGTCTAACTTCAATAGACTAAAATAAAACAAATTAAATTTAAATCCATTCATATTTGTTACTTTATTTTTTAAAAAGTATATACCAGAACGTATTATTTTTTTACATAACAGAACATTATATAATATAACTTTTATATAAAATAATTTAAAAAAATTTTAACATTTAAATCTACATAAAACTACAAATTTCTAAAATTAACAATCGTTAAAAGGAGGTTTTACCTCAAAAATTATAAATAAAAAGAAGCGACCTATTTGATAGGTCTTTTTATCACTAGAGTAGTTATAATAAAATATAAGCAAAATAAACATCACAGAAATAGCTAGATTGTTATTTATAGGACAAAGGGGATTTCACATATAAAATTACCCTGTCATAAGAGAGAAGTTTCACAATAGGTTAGTTTTAGTTTTGAGCACACATAAAACTACTACATTAACTTTTTCAATTGATTTAGTTTCAAATTGTTCTAAACATTTTGTTTAAATTATTCGAGAGTAGGAAGGTACAACATCAATAAATATTAATTTAAGATATTTGTTTACCCAACATTAAGAAATTCTGTTACTTTTTTAGTCAAATACAGCACTAAAACACGTCAAACAATTTATTATCACTTTTTCTTTCATCGGTTGCGAATTTTGGGATTTATTCGGTTTGTTTTTCGTCCTCTCTCTGGACATTTTGTAGGGCAGCTCCTCACCGTTTTTGTCCTTTTTCTTTTTATCCCTTTGCGTTATGTAAGCTAGGATCCTTTCGTTCATTTCACCTGGCAAACCTATTCTGTCTGGACCTCTGTGACTTTCGACTGTACGAGTTCGGAATTCTCTTTTTGACATCAAACCATATCTGAAACGAATATGTCATCAGAATTTTGTGTTTTCTAGAAATGATCTCTCTATACGATTTTTTGAAAATTATGGAGGATAATTTTCTCAAAAAAAAAACGCAAATTTTTACCTACCTTGGAGCATATATCAATTCCTTCAACACAGCCTTGATATTAACATCCTCAAAACTTAAAGCTTTTCGTTGGCATTCTTTAACAGCCCACCGCATAATGGCACAATATGCAATCATCTCATTAGAAAGCTGAAGGGTATCCCTTGTGGTAATGCCAAGCAGATCTTGATAATGCAAATCTTCAATTTCCTTTTGCTTCAAAAAATAATCCCCCTGCTTATCGATTTCTAGCAGAATATCATCACGGAGTCTTTGTAAAGGCTCCTTCATCTTAAAAGTTAAAAATTTGTTAAACATTCACAGTTATAGGTAATTACTGACCCAATTATCATTTCTCTCGTCAGCATTATCAACCAAGGGTGGTGCAGAAGGTTCAAAATTGAACTGTTGATCAGCTTCGGGCATATAAAGCCATCTACTTATGGTCACTAAAATTTTGAGGGCATTATCTTGCTTAATTTGCCTCTGTAGGCTGGAGATGTAATGTTTGGCCAATGGAACGTTTCGGTTCATCAGAGCCGTCTCCAGGAGACTTAGAGCTATAACGTCGTTTGTTGGGTTTAGTGGATCGGCCATCATAGCGCTAGAAGAATTAATATAATTATGGATTTTCTGAAAATAAATGTAAGTACCTACCTTGCTACAACTCTGTAAGCTTCGTCAGTGATAGAGATGGTTTGGGTACTTTTGAGATCGTTCGGTAAGTCTTGGCAGGAATTTCCAGGCAGCATAGGTTGCTGTTCGTCCTCGGGTCGATTTGTGACTTGTACCATTTTGTTATTCTTGATTGATCTGGAAGAAAAGTAATGTGTAATTAAAACTTTCGTTAAAGAACTTTGGGAGAAGAAAACACTTTTTGCAGTGGTATAGACTTATTTATTTCCACAGTCAATTATGTTTGGAGGATTACCGGTTACGAAAAGTAACATCCTGATAATCAGACCCATTCACTTTTTCACTTGAAGTTTTTTGAAGTTTTGGATACAAATGGTCAGACTCGCTTCTCGTAAATGTTGAAGGGTATCCATGTGGGCAAAGAACTTTGGAAAAAGAAAACTCTTTTTGAAGTGATATAGACTTATTTATTCCCACAGTTATTTATGTTTGGAGAGTTACCGGTTTCGAGGAGTAAGATTCTCATCATCAGACCCATTGACTTTTTCACTTGAAGCTTTTTGAAAATGTACATAAGTACAAGTAGCCATGGCTCGCTTCTCGTAAATGTTGGAAGATGTGGACAAAAAACTTTGGAAGAAGAAAACTCTTTTTGAAGTTATATAGATTTATTTATTCCCACCAGTCAAAAGTGATATAGACAGGGCCGTAGCTAGAAATTGGTCATTGGGGGGGGGGGGGGGGGGGGCAAGAAAAAATCTAAACAACTAAACAACAATATTCTTATTTCTTATTTAAAAAAGTTCATATGATTACATTGCGTTTTTTTAGACAGAATCTATTTATGACATTCTCGGAACTAACATTAATTTCTCTGACATTAGAGCTAAACCTACCTTCGTTCACTATTGAATTTCTTAGCCAAGATTTTGGGCGTCTTATGGCCGTTTGTACCGACCATTTTAGGGGAGGTTCTCCCTTAAAATGTTCGGTGCAAACGGCTATTAGAGTCGAAAAAGATCTCTCTGGTGTTAGAGCAAGGTAAAGTTGCTAATATTTGTAAAAGATCTTTAATAATTGGAAGAAAGGACTCATCTGTATTTAAAAACGCGTCAATAGCCATTCGGCAAACGGTTACCACTACCAATATTGTAATGATCCGGGAAAAATAGACCCATAAATCACAATGTCTTTACTATAAAAATTTAATAAATGTCAAATAATCAAAAACAGAATTTCCGGTATCTCCAAATCAGTATCAATAAATTGAAAAGGGAACAAATTAACGTTTAATATTATATTAGGTATTTCGTTATCAAGCCTGTGTCATCTCCTAAATCAATGAACTTAAAAAAGAGCGAGGCCAAGTAATTATAAATGATTTATGGCATTCTTGAACAAAAAAAAAAAAAAAGATATATTGACCTCGATTAATTAGGATATTGCGATATAATTATTCGATTCTGTTAAACTAAGAATGATAAAAATTTCAAGGAAATTGCATCATTATTTTTAATAATATTTAGGTCGGCCAATGGAATTCGGATTTCTAGGCAAACGACCGCCTAATGACGATTTGAGGGATAATTAATAATACTTTGCGGGGGGATCGATTTAATATAAATACCGCGGTTTTAGAAGTGGAAGAAAGTTGTCAGTTGAGAGATGAGTTCGCAGTCCTGTCCAGTTTGAGTTAAAATCTACGGTACCTAAAGTGTCAGTCCGGAAAGTTTCTTGTATTGCCTCGGTAACAGTCTTTGAAAAAGTAGCGGAAAACTTTTGAAAGAATCAACAATTAAATTCGTCAACATTTATGTGCGTGCTAGCTAAAAATTTTGAGTAATTAATTAAGTAATTTTACGTGTGCAAAGTACTTTAGCAAAGTACTGTAGTGTTTAATAATTTTCTGACTTTTATCAATGATTCTGAATGATAAGAAGTGAATAAGCAAATGACTTTCAATGCCTAAAAACTTGAGTGATTTTCCTAGTAAAACTTTTGACTTTATAAAAGATGAATAACTATAAAGTGAAATATCAATGGAACATTATTGTATAACTTTGATTGCCTTCAGATATAATGACATTCTAATTTAATTGTGCAAAGAAAATATGAAGGGAATTTATAATGCATTTAACAATATACAATTTTGAGTTGGAATTATGAATAAAACAGTTGAATTTATTAGCTAGGCATGGAATCCGAAAATAGAATTTGTTCTGATTAAATAAACTATCAAATGGAGTAGGAAATTTTGAAAGGAAAACTGATGTTCATGAAATAGAATTGTCTTAAAATATTGGAAAGTTGTTAAAGGAACTTATTGTTCATGAAATGAATTTTGAATTAGGGTTTTTATGTTTCAAGTGGAAATTGTTGTATGGTTTTATAAGAATAAGTTAGTAATACCTATACCTATAATAAACAAATAGGTAATAATTTTGGGTTTTTCATAAGCAGTCGGTAAAGGACTTAGAAATTTTAAAGAATTTATACAAATAGGAGAAGGGTAGTTAATAGGAATGAATCGGAAGTATTGAAATGAGTTAACTTATATGTTGTTAGGAATAGTAGGAATAGGGCGTTTCTTATTTAGTAGGGATATTTCAGTGGTCCGTAATAATAACAATTTTAGAACGGATGTGAAGTAATTGAATTTATAGAAATAGATGAATGAGGCTGTCAGAATTGGAAGATAATTGGCTGATTTAAAATTTTTGGTTTTATGTATAATATAATATAATTTAGTACACCTCATTGGTTTGTTTCTCTCTCTTGCAAATAGACCCTTCCACAGATTTTAGGTAGCAGCTCCAAGTAAATAAACACATCAATATACCGCTCGCCATTTACCATCTAACTAATTACATAGAGTACTTGGGGCGTTTTGCTACAATATCATTATTAGTCTATTTCTTTTGCCACATATCTAATTCAGCCGTGAATAGAGAAACATTTTTGTCATATAATTCACAAATAGGTTCAAATATTTCAAGTTTAGCGGCCGAACATTTTTCTGTTGTATGAGTAGGTACCTAACTGTAAGTATGAAATGGATTTGTGATGCTCAGAGAAACGATCTTTTAGCTCAACTAAATGATCTATGAACAGAATGTAGAGATTTCTAAGGTAGTACTGCTCAGGATTTTCAGCCGAAACATTTCCACGCTGAGTTTGGCGACCTACAGTCCTTGGTTTTTTAATCTCGCCACCCATACCTAAAACAAGCTTTCCTGCTTCATTATAAATATTTTTAAAAGATTGATCGCATGACGCATGTGTCCCTAGATAACTGGACTTTGCAGTATTAAATCAACACGTTCGACACAGGCTACCAGATCTACATTCACTTTTTGCAGATTTTTGGTTTTTTCGATAAGCACATTGATTATTTTATACTTATTTTTTGATTTTAGTTGTAAATTTTATTGGCGATTATTTTTTGAGAAAATAATCAGCATGGGGGGGGTTTGAACTCCCTAAACCCCCCCCCCCCCCCCCTTATATACGGCCCTCGATATAGACTTTTTTTTACCAACAGTCATTTATGTTTGAAGGGGTACCGGTTTTGAGGAGTTACATCCTCATACTCATCATCAGACCCATTGACTTTTTCACTTGAAACTTTTTGAAGATTTAGGGGACGTTCCGTAAGTTAACCAAGATTCTTGGTTTTTCCGGTAAACGTTCCGTAACCTAACCACTCCTGAAATCTGGTTAGGTCATGAAACGCGGTTCTACACATAAACCGCATATTCAGGAACCAGACTGTCACCATAAACGAACCGCTCCATACCAATCGGTAACTCTGGTTAAGATACGGAACGCCGCCTTAGATAAGTAGGTACAAGTAGCCATGACTCGCTTCTCGTAAATTTTGAAGGGTATCCATGTGGGCAAAGAACTTTGGGAGAAGAAAACTCTTTTTGAAGTGATATACACTTATTATTTTTACCCACAGTCATTTATGTTTGGAGGGTTACCGGTTTCGAGTAGTTACATCCTCATCATCAGACCCATTGACTTTTTCACTTGAAGCTTTTTGAAGATTTGGATAAGTACAAGTTGCCATGACTTGCTACTTGTAAATGTTAAAGGGTATATCCATGTGGAAAAACAAATTTGGAAGAAGAAAACTCTTTTTGAAGTGATATAGACTTATTTATTCCCACAGTAATGTTTAGAGGGTTAGGTAACAGTTTCGAGGAGTTACATCCTCATCATCAGACCCATTGACTTTTTCATTTGGAGCTTCATGAAGTTTTGAATACAAGTACCTACTTAGCTATTAAACCTTAATAACAGTAAATTATACTATTTACTGGGATAAACTTTAAATAACGAGCCTCAATTCGGCTATAAGGTACAATGTATCAAGTTGCACTTAAATTAAATTAATACAATACTGAATAAATCAATTGAAGAAAAAAAAAGTAATGAGTACCTATATGTATTTATATTCAACATCAGTTCTGCCTAATTATTATTTTAATACTCATTTTTAATTTGGAATTCTTTTCAAAAATTCAATTTGGTAGAATGGAAAACTAGAAAGAAAGTTCTCCTGCAGATTTTGAATGAGCCTATTTGAGGATATTTGACCGAAGAATGAAATTTATCCAAATCCAAAGAAAATTTCCCTAAACATGCATAAACATTCTAAAAACAAACTTAAGCTTTACCTCAGAATGCCTTTTCTCGAAACTCGGAAAGTTTCCAAAAAACTCCACTCAAGTAAGTACCTACAAAACAATACACAAACTAGAAACCACCTTGCCAGAAACACCTCACGCACCTAAATGCCTCAATCCAATCTACATTATTTGAAAATTCGCAAGATGAAAAGATAGGCGCTTATATCGAAACCTGGAGGGGAGACATATCGATAAAACAAAACATTGTTTATTGATACTTCTAGTTTATTATTAGTTTAGCACGAGATACGGAAGCTTTTCTCGCAACTTGGTGATATCAATGATGAAATGTAAATTACATATTATTATTGAAGCGTGCTTATGCATGAATCATAGAAATAATGCAATTTATAACCAAATATATCAATTAGGATTTCTCTTTTATAAATTAACACTTATATGTTTTTATAATATTCACACAAAGCAGCAAAAATAAAATTCCAATAGGAATGTGGCAAGTTTGCCCAGGCCCGATTCCAGATC